CGCCTATGGCTTGGGGTTTACGGTTTGGGGTCCAGTGTTTAGGGGCGGTTCAGTCGAATACTCCTCAAAGTCCCTCCTATGATTCAAGGAATACCCCTAAACCCTAAACGTCCCCCCAAACAGTGTGTCAACACTAAGGGTTCCAACCTGAAGGGTAAGAGGGGGGCAAGGTCGATGGGGTCGTGCGGGGGCCCCCCACCCCCGCTTACCCAACCCTCCTAGGGGTTCAGGGTTCAGGGTTCAGAGTTTAGGGTTTAGGGTTCAGGGTTCAGGGTTTAGGGTTTAGGGTTTAGGGTTTAGGGTTTAGGGTTTAGGGTTCTGGGCGGCAAGCGTTGGGGACGCACACTGAATTTAGTGCTCTTCTCTTGGCTTATCCGTTCACCCTCAACCCTAAACTCTGAACCCTTTTTACAACCCTAATACCTGAACCCTAAACCCTAAGCCATGAACCCTAAACCCTAAACCCTGAATTTCGGACCCAGGAGCCAAAATGCTTCCGAGGCGCCCAAGCAAAGAAGTGAGCTCCGACCTTTAGGGTTTAGGGTTTAGGGTTTAGGGTTTAGGGTTTAGGGATTCAGGGATTCAGGGATTCAGGGTTCAGGGTTCAGGGTTCAGGGTGTGCAGGGTTCAGGAGGGTCTGGGGGTTCGCGGGGGGATTTTGGGGGTTTCGGGCTGCAGAGGGCTACGGGATTTCTTGGCTGAGCTTCTGAACCCCTCCGAAAAGTTTAAAACTTTTAGTCTCCTTAATTGCTAGCTTCTACCACAAAAACCCAAAAAAGTTATAAAGTCCCAAGAAGAAAGCCAAGAATTTAGGGCTTCGACGACATGGCACCCCCGAAATCCTAAACCCTAAACCCTAAACCCTAAACCCCCAAGCCCCAGCTTAAAACAGCAGCTGCTTGGGATGCTTCCCCTTATACTATCAGTCCTGCATAGGGGTTTAGTGTTTAGGGTTTAGGGTTTAGGGTTTAGGGATTAGGTACGACAATCCCTAGAGAGTGCGGGTACCAGGGGGAACATCCCAAGAAGCTGCTCTTCAACAAAAGTCGAGACGAAGGTCGCCGGCCCCCATCACAAGATGAAGAAGCTTCTGGCTCCTCCGAACGTAGCTACGTGATCATGCAATACGGTCCCTTGCCCCTTCCGCAGAGGGCTCTGAAGTTAGGCCTTTGGGGCGTATAGAGTCGGAATTCCATAGCTCTCTATATTTTGTGGTTGCTTGTTTAACTCTTGGAGAGCAATACTTAATTTCGAGCCTTGTGAATACTGAATTCCTGCATTGTAGGAAATAGCGGTTATGATTCCATAGATACAGTAGGTGGTTTGTTAGAGTAATATACCGAATTAGAGTACGATACCAAACTAGAGTACCATCTAGCAGGCATTGAAAGTCTATTTAGATTTTGTCTATGCAAGCATTTTAGTGACACGTTTAGAAGGGGCAAAGAAGCCTTCTTTACAATTTCAAAGCCCAGACTAAGAGCCCTTGAAACCCTAAACCCTAACCCTAATTCCTAAACCTCGAACCTTGCAACTACCCCAAGACACCTGAAACCGAAACCCCAAGAACTGGCTGAGTTGGGCCAAGCTACGAGCAGGCCCGTCGAGACTACAAAGAACTCCCGGATCATAGACCTGAGTGCCCTGAATGTCTAGGGTTAGGGTTTCGACTGTCACACTCGCGGTTTGGAGTTTTTGGGTTTCGGGGGGGCGTAGGGTTTGGGGTTTGGGGGCAAACCCTACGAAGGATTACCCCTTAAGTTGTACGCAGGTTCTTACTATGAAATGAGGCATGTTCCTAATAGAAGGGTCTTAGTAATTAGATTGAAATACCCATAGATCAACATGCAAAAAATCCCGACTGCTTCTGGGACACTGGTACGAGGGCAAAGACACAGTCGGCGCCACTCCACCATGGCCGTGCGCGAAGTCCACGTAACAGGCTGCCGTGCGGGCCTGGATTTGTCGGGGGCGTTTTGAGGCCTCTTGTCACAGTTTGTGGGATATACCCAAAGACCCCAATACCCCCGAAACTCAAAAGATGCCTTAGAACGTTGACAAGGTCCATGTCTCTTTTAAGTTCCATTCCTCCGTTAAGGGGTATTGGGCTGTTTGGGTATTCCTTCAGTAGAGTGTATTGGAGCGCCTGCCCCCGGAGTCTTTAAACTATGTAGGTGTCCAGGGAATCACGCTGGCCGTACTCGCCTAAGCGAAAGAGCCTTATGATGAGGAGCTGTGTGTACTGTCAGATTTTGGGGTCCCCGGTTTTTCAACTGGATGTTTCGGGTTTAGGGTTTAGGGTGTTGGGTTCAGGGTTTTGGGTTTTGGGTTCAGAGTTCTGGGTTTAGGCATTAGGGTTCAGGGCTTCGGGGGCGGCCGAGGCGAATCCCGCCTGCAGCAGAAGTGCATCGAGGTCAAATTGGAAGAACTCCTGCGCACAATCGATAAAGACGGACAGGAGTGATATCAGTACCAGGCTCATCGCAGATGGTTCATGGGTAGTTATAAGTAGGGCTATAAGTATAACTACAATTACAACCCTATTTAGGGCACTTAAACCCTTCTTATAACTACCTTACCAGTGTTTGGACCACTGCTGGATGGGCTTCCAATGGAGTGGCCCAGTTCGGCCTATACTCCCCTTAGCACCTTAACAAAAAAACATTTGTAATATCCTCTTGGGTTTTGGATAAACAAAGAAAAAGGGGGGGATAAAGCAGATTCAGCAGCCCAGAATTTTAAGCCAGAATGCGAGTTGGCACGACACAACGCCCGGAAAGCCGAACGCTTCCCAAGTGAAGGGGTCTTGGGTTCCCTAGACCCTAAACCCTAAACCCTAAACCCTAAACCCTAAACCTCCTTCGAAATTGCTTCGGGGGATACGGCCCTTGGTGTGCTGGAGGACAGGTGCCATCGAGGAAACAACCGGCCCCGACATGTGCGGACCATGCTGCCAGCCAGGCTTTAGGGTTTAGGGTTTAGGGTTTAGGGTTTAGGGTGTAGGGTTCAGGGTTCAGGGTTCAGTGTTTAGGGTTTAGGGTTTAGGGTTCAGGGTTCAGGGTTTGGGGCTTAGGGTTGTCCAATGCCCCTACTTCGTTGTCCAGTATCCTAGAACTACTCCAGCAGGTATATAACCCCAAAAAAAGGCTAAACGGTTACCTACTCTGCTGCCTGAAATGAAGGACTCTTAGAAGTAGGGCTTTTTGTATAACTATGATTACAACCCTTTTGAGGGGCCAGATAACCCTACTTATAACAACCCATGAACCTCTAAGTACCTTATTTCATACTCAGACGAAGATCTCTAAAAATGGAGTGCGTTGGGCTGGGGCTCCCTGGGCTGTTGAGAATGCGACCCGGCGACAATGCTGTGGCCGATGGACACAGCAATGCCAGCGTGCTCGGGAAGCACCAACCTGCGTCGCTTCTCCGCAGTGAAAGCATGGGTTTTGTGGGTTATGAAGACTTCACGGTTTAGGGTTTAGGGTTTAGGGTTTAGGGTTTAGGGTTTAGGGTTTAGGGTTTAGGGTTTAGGGTTTAGGGTTTAGGGTTTAGGGTTTAGGGTTTAGGGTTTAGGGTTTAGGGTTTCAACATCTTCCACACCAGGCCATAGAGGGGGTGGAGGGTCCTGTGACTTGGTACGATGGATGGGTATGGCCGACATGGCCGAGGTTGCCTCGAAGAGGTCGCGGCTGCTATTCGGGTTCCGAGATTGGACAACCCTAAACCCTAAACCCTAAACCCTAAACCCTAATCCCAGGGGGCCCAAGATGAAACATGGTAGCATGTGAGTACATGATGTCATCCCTTCGGGCCCCGAACTCACAATGTCCCTGCCGGGTGGCACAGATGACGGCGAGCCATCAGAAATGTCAAGCTGAGCGACATGTCCTTGTCGACAGGGTCTAGGGTCTGGGGTTTAGGTTGCTGGAAACAACCTCCCTAAAAGCCTAAACCCTAAACATCCCTAAACCATAAGCCACATCATCCAGGGAAAGCTGGCATCTTACCCTAAACCCTAAACCCTAAACCCTAAACCCTAAACCACCCCCCCCCCCCCAACACGTGGTCACAGAAACGACTGGCACATCCGGAGTCCATAGGCCTTGGAGGGCCTTGAAAGGCAACGAATTCTCACTACTTGGAGGTTAATGTAGTAGAGTTTAGGGTTTGGGGTTTGCGGTTTAGGGTTTAGGGTGTAGGGATTAGTATGGTAACTTTATTTAGAACCCTATTTCTGTTCAGGGTTTAGGGTTTAGGGTTTAGGGTTTGGGGTTTAGGGTTTAGGGTTTCGGGTACGTATAGCCCTACTTACAACGTAGTCGGCCAGGCCTGCCGGCCCGCCACCCTCACACGACGTCCCAAGCCACTTCTCCTAAACCCTAAACCCTAAACCCTAAAACCCTAAACCACCCCCCCCCCCCCCCCAACACGTGGTCACAGAAACGACTGGCACATCCGGAGTCCATAGGCCTTGGAGGGCCTTGAAAGGCAACGAATTCTCACTACTTGGAGGTTAATGTAGTAGAGTTTAGGGTTTGGGGTTTGCGGTTTAGGGTTTAGGGTGTAGGGATTAGTATGGTAACTTTATTTAGAACCCTATTTCTGTTCAGGGTTTAGGGTTTAGGGTTTGGGGTTTAGGGTTTAGGGTTTCGGGTACGTATAGCCCTACTTACAACGTAGTCGGCCAGGCCTGCCGGCCCGCCACCCTCACACGACGTTCTCCTAAACCCTAAACCCTAAACCCTAAACCCTAAACCCTGAACCCTAAACCCTAAACCCTAAACCCTGAACTTGGGGGCCACGTGTCGCATGCATCGCTGCTCGAAGTTCACTTCCATGATCCTGGGGGGCCAGCAGCAAAACAAAACATGTCTTTTGTAGTAAGAGGGGCATCCTGCCCTGGGGTTTAGGGTTTGGGGTTTGGGGTTTAGGGTTTGGGGTTTAGGGTTTAGGGTTTGGGGTTTGGGGTTTAGGGTTTGGGGTTTGGCGTTTAGGGTTTGGGGTTTAGGGTTTAGGGTTTGGGGTTTGGGGTTTGGGGTTTGGCGTTTGGGGTTTGGGGTTTAGGGTTTGTGCTGGTTTCAGGCACACGGCCGCAAGGGCTGGGGGGGCTTCGGTCTATACGATACCTTCGTCGCCAGACTGAAACCAGGAAAACCAAGGCGACGGACGCCTACTACTTGCTTAAGAGCCACCTATATGCTTCCGCATACGGGCAATGTAAGATAGGGAGCGTTATCCTTTGTTTTTGGGTGGTTCTTAAGCAAACAGTAGAAGCGGCGCAGCAACACTCCAACAATCTTGGGGGGGGCGCAAGGACCCTGCAAGTTTAGAGAACCCACCTTCCCTTGAGCATACACATATGAATGCAGCTTCAAATAGAGAACTCACCTTCCCTTGAGCATACACATATGAACGCAGCTTCAAAGTACTTGGAGAAAGTCAGAATACCAGAGAGCACCTTGTTCATTTAGGCATCTGCCTTCTCAAAGATCTGGGACTCCCTGGTCGTCTCTTCATGTGAACTATGGCGGGGTTTAGGGTTTAGGGTTTAGGGTTTCGGGTTTATGGTTCGGCCCGGCACCTGCTATGAAGCCCTCACCCGTGAACCCTCAACGTCCAACAGCCGCCAAGGGCGCATAACACCACCGAACTGCAGAGCCACCGCCAGCACCGTCGGTCTCAACGGAGCAATCCTGTAGCAAAGGCCTTAAACCCTAAGCCCTAAAACCTTAAACCCTAGACCCGAACCTCGCGCATGTCGTGTCCAATAATCAGCCAAAGTGCACCTGACTGGGGTGGACTTGGGGGGGCCGATGAAAAGGCTCGATGGTCACCCCTCCACAGTACAGTCCCTTTGTGGGGTGACTAGGCGGCCCCGAATATTTAGGGTAGCCCAAACAGGGGAACATGAATTTGAGAACTGGCTATACGGTGATTTTGTCAAACTGGTCTGAGATCAGCCCCCGGAGACGCCGAGCATTCTTGCAAAATGCCTGAAGCTTCTTCGGAATCCTTCCCAAACCCTAAACCCTAAACCCTAAACCCTAAACCCTAAACCCTAAACCCTAAACCCTACTATGCTGTTCCCGAACTTTTGTGGGGCAATGGGCTGTCTGCAATCACAGTCAAGGCGTCGAGTAGATCATGGCATCAAAGGTCGCGTTGATCTCTGGGGCCCCTCCAGCCTGGGACACTTTGGGATGACGAGCTAGTTTAGGGTTTAGGGTTTAGGGTTTAGGGTTTAGGGTTTAGGGTTTAGGGTTTAGGGTGTAGGGTTTTGGGTTTAGGGCAGCACAAGGACAGGGGGATGGTGGTGATGATGATGATGATGATATACACTCCAATGCTCCTTAACTAAGCAATATTCCTTCAACCATATAAGGGACCCGACTATATTATAATTAAGGAATACGCCCTGCATTGAAGTCCCTGGTATTCGGAGGATGCGATTCAGGATGCTGATGGTAGTCGTTAGGATAAGCTTGATGCTGCTACTTATGGTTGTTACTGTTATGCCCGTATGGATACCGCCATTGTAATCAGGCGCACACAGGCATTTCACAAAATAGGCCAAAACCTACACGTTTCATTCCCCCCCCCCCCCCCCGCCCCCGAAATAAGGAATAGACCTCGGGTTTAGGGTTTAGGGTTTAGGGTTTAGGGTTTAGGGTTTAGGGTTTAGGGTTTAGGCTTGGGCTTAGGCTTTGGGGTACGTTCCCGAATTAAGGGATACTAAGGGCTCTTTGGGGAGCCACGGCTGCCTTTGGAAGTTCACATTCGCAGCCTGGGTCTCTGTGTTTTGCGAGCGCTCGGAAATCTCCCGGGAGAGCCTGCAATAAGATCCCTGAAATAAAGAATAGGGCTTAGGGTTTGGGGTTTAGGGTTTCGGGTTTAGGGTTTCGGGTTTCGGGTTTAGGGTTTAGGGTCTAGGGTTCGGGGTTTGGGGTTTGGGTTGGGGTTTGGGGTTTGGGTTTAGGGTTTTCCGAAATTAGGGGTACCTTATAGGGGTCCTTATTATCGGGGGATCCTACTCTTCGGGGGGCCTTTCTTTTTCGGGGTCCCCTATGTAAACCCTAAACCCTGAACTCTGAACCCTAAACCCCAAAACCCCAGAACACCTAAACCCTAAAACACTAAAACCCCTAAACCCCTAAACCCCTAAACCTCTCAACCCCATAAACCCCTAAACCCCTAAACCCCTAAAACCCCAAAACCCCTAAACCCTAATTTCTAAACCCTACGGCTAATAGGGCCGCGGCCAACAAGCTGTCCAAGCTGTACACAACCACCAAGCCATCGAACATGTCAAAGGAGATCGCCAACTGGGACTCGAGTCCATTCCCAAAAGCACTACAAAGGTTTGCTGTTTGGTGGTTTAGGGTTTAGGGGTTTACGGGTTTAGGGGTTTTAGGAGTTTAGGGGTTTAGGGGTTTAGGGGTTTTGGGGTTTCAGGGGTTTAGGGGTTTAGGGGTTTAGGGGTTTTAGGGGTTTAGGGGTTTAGGGGTTTATGGGGTTGAGAGGTTTAGGGGTTCAGGGGTTAGGGCCCCTCTCTACCTTCTACTTCTCCTACTGTAGCCATCCTTAGACTTCACAGGGACTCTTCTTTCAGGGTTTAAGGGCGTAAGGTTTAGGGCTTAGTGCATTCTTCTGCATTCAGGGGTTTTGGGGCTGGGTTTGGGTTTGGGACGCAGGGCTGTGTTAAGCTTTTCGGTTAGTGCTTTAGCGCCATGGGGCTTGGCCAGCAGGGTTTAGGGGGGTTTGGGGTTTCGGGCTTATGCCCCCCACGCGCACGCGCGCGCTCTGCGTTGAGCTTGTGCACGGCCAGCGCTCTCTACAATCCTACGGTGCCCTTCTGCCTTGCTTTCTTTGAGCTTTCGTGGGGAGGGGGGGAGAAGTTAACAGGCCCAAACACGTACTTCTCCAATAACCCAGAGAAGAAAGGTTAAACCTAAGTAATCCTACTAAGCAAAGGAAGCCCAAAAGGTTTACTGTAAAGTTCAACTATCGGGCGAAGTCAGAACAAGTGAAAGCAAAGCCACCGCCAGGAGGTTGTCGTCCAGGAAGCCCATATTCAAGATGTTGCCGGGGAAGGAAGCCTCACCTCACAGGGGGCATAACCCCCTCGAACCCCGACTCTCCTGAAGTCAGCGAAAGGCCTTGAACAAACTTTAACCCTAAACCCTAGACCTCTTCCTTAATGGGTTTTGGGATGGTTTTGGGCTCTCTAAACCCTGAGCCCTAAACCCTAAATCCTAGAGGTTTCATCTTGGGTTTGCGTTTAAAGCTGAAAGGTTTGGGGTTCGGAGTTGCTTTCCGAATTAGGGTTAGTGTTTAGGAATCAGGGTTTTAGGGTTGAGGATTCGGGGTTTAGGGTCTTAGGGGGTGTGCCTAGCAATCACGTGTCAAAGCCTGCAAAACACGACGGAATCGGGCGACGCGAGACCGTGGAGGGTTCAGGGTTTGAGGTTTAGGGTTGAGGGCTTAGGGTTTAGGGTTTAGGGCCTTTAGGGCTTATGCAAAAAAAAAACGGCTTGGGAAGCTCCGCCCCCGACCTACAAGCTCCGGTTTCATCGTGCCCGCAGCAATCTTGAAGAGGCGCAGCTCGCCAGTCTTCGCAAGCACACCATGCCAAGCAGGGTTTAGGGTTCAGGGTTCAGGGTTCAGGGTTCAGGGTTCAGGGTTCAGAGTTCAGGGTTCAGGGTTCAGGGTTTAGGGTTTAGGGTTTAGGGTTTAGAGTTTAGGGTTTAGGGTTTAGGGTTTAGGGTTTAGGGCTACTACTATCACTACCCGTGCCTAAACAGGGTTGAAGGTCTAGTTTCCAGACTCAAAGCCCTGGCTTCTAACCCTACTTCTCACTACACGTGAACCTCCAAGTAGCTGCACGGCGGACCCAACTCTGCATGACGACCTGATCTTGCCCTGGGCGAGGCCTAGTGGGCACCCACTCCTAGGATTCTAGCAGGCAAGTTCTTTAAAACTCCTGAAGAGGGTTTAGGGGTTCAGGCTTTAGGGGTTCAGGGTTCAGGGGTTTAGGGATTTAGGGGTTTAGGGGTTTAGGGGTTTAGGGGTTCAGGGGTTTAGGGGTTTATTTCCTGGACCCACCCAGTTTCAGGCTGCCTCGTCCTCCTCGGAGCCGAATGTCACCTGTATCAGGTCATAGAAGTAGCTGGTTTAGGGTTTAGGGTTTAGGGTTTAGGGTTTAGGGTTTAGGGTTTAGGGTTTAGGGTTTAGGGTTTAGGGTTTAGGGTTTAGGGTTTAGGGCGGGGCACAAGCAGTCAAAGCACCCCGAAAAGCCCCATACGCCTGACTGAGGAATACACCTATGAACACTGGGCGGGGCCTTCATTATGAAGGCTTAATTATCCCGAAAGAACCTTAGAACCTTATCTATATATATATATATATATATATATATAGGGAACCTAGGGAGGGTTTGTATAGAGGGGGTAGTACCCCTCTCCATGTATAAGGCAGAAAAGATGTTGCCACTTTCCTTGGCCACCCCCCCCCTGCCTCCAATAAAACAGGACCCTTGCATACGCATGCTACGTGTGAAGTGCTTCGTGACACTCGCCATTCTCTACTTTAGGAGCCTTAAGAATCAGAACAGGGTTTTGGGGTTGTGATAGTATAAGTATAAGGGACCACAAGGGAACCGTATAACAACATATTCCGACCACCATATTACACTAGCATAAGAAACCTTCCTCAAACGCTGGCAGGCCACCACCACGCCAGTGTCGTTTGGCAGAGCTAAGATCTTGCGCTTCATCCACCGGTCGCAATCGGTGACGCTCGTGAGATCGACCTCACACGGAGACAGGACTTCTACCTTGCTTCAATCTTGGCTGCACTTAGGAGGGTAGCCATAAATTAAATTTTTTGCTGCCGTACTAGGAAACCCAATAAACCCAAAAAGGGTAAGGATCTAAAGTTACAGTAAAGCACCACAAAGCAATAATGCTGGTGACATGCCCTTATTTGTTGTGGACCGAAGGCCTGTTGACCCCTAAAAGCCCAACATGCACGAGGCGTTGTAGCTCTCACCATTGCATCCAGTCAGTCCCCGTCACAAAAATGCAAGCAGCACGCAAACCAAGTCAACAGCGCATAGCAGATTTGGGGCTGTCCGAAATTAGTGATTAGGTATTACCTTATTGAGGTCCGTATTCCAAAGTAAAACAAGCATTGCAGTGGACATGATTGCGCAAGGCTGGGTCTCTAAACCCCCAATAGGTACCCAAATTTAGAAAATACCCAAAAGGATGCAGGGGTTCAAGGTTCTGAGATCGCCCTCACCCTAAACCCTAAACCCTAAACCCTAAACCCTAAACCCTAAATCCTAAACCCTAAACCCTAAACCGTCCACGCTGCAGAGTGCGCGGCGCTTCCTCCGCTCCGAACGGCCTCCTTGCTAAAGAGGCTCCTTGGCAGAATACTTGGAGGGTTTAGGGTTTAGGTTGCTAGGGTTTAGGGTCTAGGGTTTAGGGTTCAGGGTTTAGGGCATATTGCATGCAACTGTGGTTCAGCTGACAGGGGCTGACAGCGGCAACGCCCCCATTGGACAAGATCGCCAGAGCGTCCGTGTGCGCACCGACCTGAATCTAGGGTTTAGGGTTTAGGGTTTAGGGTTTAGGGTTTAGGGTTTAGGGTTTAGGGTTTAGGGTTCGAGCGGTGTCAAGGATGTCTCCCTTCGCTGTGCCCACCCTTAGAACGGAATGCTTCCTCGCTGATACAGGAGTAGACTTGGGATGTTTCCCCTGTTAACTGTCAGTCCTTAAGAGGGATTCTGGTACCCACTATTGTAATCCCTGTTAAGGACCGTAAGGGGGAACATCCCAAGAATAGACCTTCAACCATGTCGGGCTCTTCTGTTTATCCTCTGGCATACTCCTGAATACAGGGGTGTTAGACCTTTTGCTAAGCAGGGGCCCTTGATCTTAGTTCGTTTTGTGAGGGGGGTACCTAATTGTCGTCTTGCCACGTAGCGCTAACCACAAAACCAGGCGGCCAAAAGAAAGGAACTAAACCATGAACCCTAAACCCTGAACCCTAAACCCTGAACCCTAGACTCAGCCGCCCCAAAATAGGCGCCCCCGAGCGCTGGGTCGCCGGCGTGCAGCTCCGCCCGTGTTTTCATCGGCTGCTTCCTTGGCAAATCTACCAGAGAGCCCCCAAAAAAACCCTTAATGAGGGAAGAGGGTTAATCGCTCACACTCGGACAAGTCAGGCGAGGTACACACTGTCCCAAGGAAGAGGGTTTAGGGTTTAGGGTTATGGGTTTTGGGTACTGGCACCCGCATAGCTGAACGAACCGCTTAGCAGGTTTAGGGTTTCGGGTTTAGGGTTTACGGTTTAAGGTCTAGGATTTGGGGTTTAGGGTTTAGGGTTTAGGGTTTTGGGTTTTGCGTAAACCACATAGGGGTCCCCAGTATGAGTTAAGCTATATTCCTGAATTGCGGGGTATTGGGACCTTTGGGAGTCTACCTTAACTTGTCGCAAGAACCCATTGAAGAGAACCTTATGCTCAGGCCCCCCCCTCCGCTGCTTGCAGTAACGTAAATAAGGACCCCTCGTAGGGTTTGGGGTGTAGGGTGTCGGGTTTGTGGTTTGTGGTTTAGGGGAAAAGGGACACGCGAAACGCGGGAAACCGACTGTCTGCGGAGGCTGCTTGGAAGCCCTGACTTAGTAGGTAGGGTAAGTAAGTAGGGTTAGTAAGTAGGGTTGGTAAGCAGGGTTAGTGAGTAGGGTAAGTAGGGATAGTAAGTTGGGTTAAATAGGGATTATGAATAGGGTTTCTAGGGGATACGAAGTAGACTTACGTCGGCAAGCACGTGCACCAGCGGCTGTAAGCAAAGACATGTGCAGGGGTAGGCGTTTCTTGTTTGCATGTGAACAGCTCCTCTTACGACAGCAACTTGCGCTGACACCCAAACAGCGAGCTTAACCTCCAAACAAAGCTCACAGTTTGTTCCTCAGAGCAGCCGCATGAACCCTATAGCCTTACATGCCCTGCAATGATGAAGCTATGGAGCACCATAAAACCAAGTTTAAACCATAAGCCCCTGAATACAGAATATGCCTCAATTCATGATGGGGCTTCCCTCTACAGGAACATGTCTTTGAACAAGGAGCAGCGGATTGTCTGGGAATCTGAATGCTACATACTCAATGCATGCTATAGCACACGATGATAGACAGAAGCATGTCCTACTGTAGCACTCTATGATGTGCTGTAAGTGTACTGTCATAGGCTGCCACATCCTACAAAACCAGCGAGGGGGAGTGGCGGGACCTTTAGAAGCTCGGGGGGGGGAGGGGGAAGGAGGAGGGGGACAACCCCAAGGCTTGCTACTAAACCCTAAACCGACCTAAACCCTAAATCTTAAACCCTAAACCCTAAACCCTAAACCCTAAACCCCTAAACCCCACACCTAGCAAAGCCCAGACTCAGGACCCCGTCCATGAAGAAGTCCACCGTCCCAGCAGTCGTCGCCACTGCAAGAGCTCCCGTGGTCAAGGAGGTGATCGCCATCACATGGGAGGAAACGCTCCTGGGTTTAGGGTTTCCCTAAACCCTAAACCCTAAACCCTAAACCCGAAACCCTAAACCCTGGTGTAGGGTTTAGGCTTGGGGGTTTAGGGTTCCTGGGCTCCGCGATTTTCAGGTTGTTTGCGGTATGGGGCACATGCCCCTTGATCAAGGAGCCTGCCTCAGATCGGGGTTTAATGTTTAGGGTTTAGAGTTTAGGGTTTAAGGTTTAGGGTTTAGGGTTAGGGATGCCTATTCTGGTTTGTGGTCTATTCCTATTCCGGCGTTACATAAGGTTGGGTTCTCTGTGGGCAGCGCTCTCCTGGGTTGCATGGGATCGCTGCTAGTTTGGACCTAGTTTGGTGCCCTGTCCGCTGAACCCGGAGAGCCCAAATACCCCCCTACTTGGAGGTTCATGGGACTTAATACCCACTTAGAACTGGGCTTATAACCCTACTTATAATTGGGATAACCCCTAGAAGGCCCTTGAGGGGTACTATAAATGGGGATATAAGTACAGTTATAAGTGGTTAGTAAGTACCATGAACCTTCAAGTACCTGCGCTTGAGAAGCCTTGCAATTTTGCCTCAAGTCTAGGTCCATTCGGCAGGTGAGGAACATGCCTTACATCCGGTGTTTCCTTCAGGTCTCTCCCCCTAAGCCTTACACCCCAAACCCTGAAACCTGAACCCTAAACCCTAAACCCTAGACCCTAAACCCTGAACCCTGAACCCTGAACCCGAAACCCTAAACAGTATCGGGAAAGCCTGAAAGACGCTTTCGCGGCGCTCACGGTGTGCGGCAGAGGCGCAGGATCATGTCTGCCGCTCCGCCTGCAGAAAGCGGGGCACCCTCAAGCCTGGTACCCAGAGAGCCCAAAACCTCTTAGGGTTTAGGGTTTAGGGTTTAGGGTTTAGGGTTTAGGGTTTAGGGTTTAGGGTTTGGGGTTTGGGGTTTGGGGTTTCGGGTTTAGGGTCTAGGGTTTAGGGTAGGAATATGCCCTGTAACTATATGGGGTAGTATATGTATGATTTCAGGTCTAACCCTTGATGAAGGGGTACTGGGTTTGCGTACCGCAAGGTCAGGGATCGGACACCGAAGATGCAGAAGATGTTGGAGGGAGGGCCCGGAGATCATGTTGGCTGCAAGCTGCGCTGCGCAGTTGTCCCTAAACCCTAAACCTCAAACCCTAAACCCTAAACCCTAAGCCCAGGAACGCACATCTTTGTTTCTGGCCTGCGGCGAGGGCTGAAGGCGAGAAGATGTACAGGACGGCCCCACCTACCACCTTGGCATCAGTGTTTAGGGTGTAGGGTTTAGGGTTTAGGGCTTATAACCATATTAGAGGACTTGAGGGGCTAATAAGTGGGTTATAAGTACAGTTCTAATTGGCTAATAAATGCCATAAACCTCCAAGTACTACCCCCCAACCAAACCCTAAACCCTTAACCCTAGAGGGGGTAGTATAGCGTGAAGTAGTAGGGGAACCCTTGATAGGTGGGAACACGCAACATCTCGCAACCCGATGTCTCTGCCGGCGAGCGCAGAGCGCGCAAATAGCGCAAATAACAAATGGAAGTGAGCCCTGCAAACAAGAGAGGGATCCTGACTACACCCTAAACCCTAAACCCTAAACCCTGAACCCTAAACCCTAAATCCTAAACCCTAAACCCTAAACCCTAAACCCTAAACCGGCAATTGGGCTCTCTGGGAACCAATGCGGAAGAACGACAAGGTAGCCATCGGGTCGAACATGTAGGCAAAGAGCCATACCAAACATCCTGGAAGCCGGCATCGGGAACACAAGCAGGGTTTTGGGTTTAGAGTCTAGGGTTTAGAGTTAGGGTGTAGTTAGGGTCTAGGGTTTACGGTTTAGGCGTTCGGCTAACGGTGTGCTGACGGAGGGTAGTGACAATCCCCAGGTTCTGAACATGCGAGCGTCCTGCAGGCAGACTCCGTTGCGTGTCCCGTCTGCCTACGTCCTCTGCCCTAAACCCTAAACCCTAAACCCTAAACCCTAAACCCTTAAACGTGTCATACCAACCCCTCTTAGCACTCCAACCAGATCATCAGCTGACACGAGTGGTGGTACCTGGAAGCCCAATTTTGACTCAGCAAGTAATTAGGGGAAGTAAGTTGGGTTAGGGTTTAGGGTTTAGGGTTTAGGGTTTAGGGTTTAGGGTTTATAAAGGGTTTCAAGGAGATACTAGACTCAGTAGACTTACTACGCAGACGTGTGAAGTCAAAAGGTACTTCTCAGCGTTTCCTACACCACTCTCATGATGATATCTTAACTTGCCCCTTAACAAGAAACCCTAAACCCTAAACCCTAAACCCTAAACCCTAAACCCTAAACCCTAAACCCTAAACCCTAAACCCTAAACCCTAGCCAAGGAACTGAAGTGATCGAGGAGAATCCAAGCTCGGAATGGATGCGGCATCGTACACCAGGATCCTTCTCAAACGCTGCTTGGAGGTTCATGGTACCAATCATAACTGCACTTTATAAGGGATTAGGGTTTAGGGTTTAGGGTTTAGGGTTTACGGTACATATAACTGTGCTTAAAACCTCATTAGGGCACTTAAGGGCCTATAAGTGGGTTAGAAGTACAGTTATAATTTTGTTAATAAGCACCATGAACCTCCAAGTGGGCATCTTCGAGACTGGATTGACGGGTGAGTCGGAGAAAAAGAGTCGAAAACTGCATGGGCCTTTTCGGACAACGAAAAAGGCCCAGTCAGAAAACGGGCCGGCGTGAGTGAGGCAACGGCGGCGGCACAAGTCCGAAAAACAGGACAGTGAGTCAGAAAACGGCTGGAAAACCAGCCCTGGACCATTCAACCTTAAAACCCTGAAGCGTAGAACCCTGAACCCTAAACCCTAAACCTATAAGGCCCTCAGGTCCCGCTTTCAACCTACGGACAACTTTGTTTCTCCTCGCGAGGGCCAAACAAGCCCTCCACAACATTTTGGTGAAAAGGCCGATACTTTGGGATTTTCCCCCTTATACTAACTGTCCTTCATAATCCCTATTAAGGACAGTTAGTATAAGGGGGAACATCCCAACCGAGACTGCTTAAAGTAGCCTCGAAACTCACAAGTCCAAACGCACTGAACCCAAGACGTCCGAACGATCATGTCGCGATATGCGGCTTAACAAAAGTTCAGCGCTTTCTTGAAGGTACATGCAAAATCCTTCGGCACCTCAAATGTATCACCGGGGAAACTTATCAGGAAACTCCGTTCCAGACCAAAAAGAGCCCGGAGTCCCAAAAGGCACGGAGTCCCAAACGGAACTTGCCTGGAGGTTCTTTCATCTTATTTAGATTTGGAAGGTTGAAACAAAGAGTTACTGCTGTTTTGGTCTTGTTTAAAACGAGGTGGGACACTCCGCGCATATGCACGGCACCCTCACGTCTCTTTCTGGCTGGTCTTCGCCCCTTTGCCTTGGACATTGTAAGGGTGCCGTGCATGCGCGCTCAATGCACCAGGAACTGCCCCTCATTTCCTGAAGATAAGGACTGTACGACTCACCTCGTTTTGAGAAACCCAAAACATCCCAAGACACCAGCAACTCCTTCTTTTACAACCTCCCAAATCAAAAAAAAGATGAGACACGAAAAAGTTTGATTTCTAGGGCTCACGAAATACCTTTTGTTACCTTGTTCCACAAAAGATCAACTTTTGTGAAGTTGCATATCTCGACAGAATCGTTCGGAAGACTTGGGCTCAATACCTATTGACTTGTGAGCTTCGAGGCTGCGTTGAAGAGTATCTCTAGGGGAACCCTGAACCCCTAAACCCTAAACCCTAAACCCTAACCCCTAACCCCTAAACCCAGTTACATGTGTCCGCAAGGTGGCCACTTGCCCTCTTGGGTCCAGAAGTATGGACCCTTTTGGGTTTTGTAGGGCCTTTAAGGGGTAAGTAAGGGGTCCCCATTCATGGGCCCATACTAAGGGACCATGTAACTACCCTTACAGTATCGGCCTTTTCCCCCTAGGAAAATGTCTATGTTGTGGGGGTTGGTTTGCAGCCGCGAGAATAAATGAAGCTTTCGTACACCTTACCGGCTCTTCTTAGTTCAAAAAAGAAGCTAAGTTAAACAAGTTAGGCCTCTTGAATAAAGGCTGGGTCCGGGCAGTCTTTCGTGACATCAGCTCTTCTGAAAAGTAGAATCAGCTGATCTTGGCTGCACTTAGGAGGGTAGCTATGAACTAAATTTTTAGCTGCCTCATTAAGAAACCCAATTCACCCAAAAAGGCTAAGGATCTAAAGTTACAGTAAATCACCACAACGTGATGAGGAGGATCTTCTGCAGTATTCAGGGAACAAAGCTGCTGGACGGATGCTTGCAAAAATCCTTGGCCGGAGGTGTTTTCTGCGCGGGTGGGGGTGGGAAACCCTGAACCCTAAACCCAAAACCCTGAAACCCTAAACCCTAAACCCTAAACCCTAGTGTCTTGTCTTTTCCACTTGGGGTTCCGACTCGGGGCGTCCCTTAGGCAGCGGGCTGGGAGCCTGGTGGTTTGGGGTTCAGGGTTTAGGGTTTAGGGTTTAGGGTTTAGGGTTTAGGGTTTAGGGTTTAGGGTTTAGGGTTTAGGGTTTAGGGTTTAGGGTTTAGGGTCTAGGGTTTCGGGTTTCGGGTTTCGGGTTTAGGGTTTTGGCTTAGGGGGTTTAGGGGTTCCGGAAGATGGGGGGTTTGGGGGGTTTGGGGGGTTTGTGGGGTTTGGGGGGTTTGGGGGGTTTGGGGGGGGTTTGGGGGGTTTGGGGGGTTTGGGGGTTTGGGGGGTTTGGGGGGTTGGGGGGTTTGGGGGGTTTGGGGGTTTGGGGGGTTTTGGGGGGGGGTTTGGGGGGGGGGTTTGGGGGTTTGGGGGGTTTGGGGGGTTTGGGGGTTTGGGGGGTTTGGGGGTTTTGGGGGTTTTTGGGGGTTTTTCGGGGGTTTGGGGGGTTTGGGGGTATTGGGGGGTTTGGGGGGTTTAGTGTCGACCGTCAATACACCTGGATTGGGGAATATACCTTGGTTTAAGGTCTAGGGTTTAGGGGTTTTTGCAAGCACTCTCTGCAGGGTTTAGGGTTCAGGGTTAGGATCCGTGTTTTCGCTTAAGCCATGCTCCTTAACTTGTAGGGGTGTTGGGGCCCTCTGCGCGTGCTTCTGTCGTTTCGCAACCAGGCGTCGTCGTGCTGCTGGCGAGGACGGCGCCACCATTCGGGAGTGGCGCCAGCAACTCGGGGAATTGACTTCGGAAGGCAATGCTGGACCCACACAAAATTCTGGATCAACCCACATTCCAGCACTGGACCGCAAAACCTACACCCAAAAACCTTTTGCCACTGGGCGAAGGCAAGCCAGAATTCCATGCGCCACCGAGCGCTCTCAAGCCCAAAACCCTAAACCCTAAGCCCCAAACCCCAAACCCTAAACCCCAAAGCCCAAACCCAAAACCCAAAACCCAAAACCCAAAACCCTAAACCCTAAACCCTAAACCCTAAACCCTAAACCCTAAACCCAAATCTAACATGCCAAGTGAGCAGCGGAAGCACGATTCTTGTTTGGTCGGCCTTGGCGCACACGCGCACTGGGAAGCAATGCCCAAGAGAGCCGAAAGCCGAAAGCCTCTTAATCAAGGAACGTGGTTTAAGGTTTAGGGTTTAGGGTTTAGGGTCTAGGGTTTAGGGTTTAGTATTAGGGTTTAGGGTTTAGGGCTACGGGGTTATCTTATTAGCATCCCCAACTCCACCAAGTCGAACCCTCCGACCGTACTCTCCTGCGAGGGGCTGCTTCGCGGCTGAAGAAGCCGTCTCCTTCCGCCTAGGGCCGTGCGATCGTCCTGGGCTGAATGATGCTGGACACGGTGCTGCCGCGCCCAAACCCGACAGCAATCTAGTTCGGGACCCCAGCACCCCTTAGTTCAGGAATCTACCCTATACACTCCTGAATTCAGGGGTATTGGGCCTCTCTGATACTTCACGATATTTCAGATTCCTTCATCAGAGCATGCCGCTACCATAAGTCGCCCGGGAATTCCTGCGTGAGGGCACATGGGCAGCAAGAAGTTCAGAAAATAAGTTGAGCACGCCTCTTTCAATAACTTGAGGCGAGCAGCAGGCCAGAAAGACTGAATTTCTCTGTACGTTGCGACAAGCATGTAGCCCTGCTGCCAGCAGGGAGTGGCAAAGGCACGTCTTGCTGCACACGCAAAGAGAGCCAAATACCCCGCAACTAAAAAGTTGTGAATAACGCGTGCCATTCATACTAAGCATCCCCATATTATTGCAGGTGTGCTCCGCTTTTGGAATACTGGTCTCCAAACCCTAAACCCTAAACCCAAACCTCAAACCCCAAACCCTAAACCCCAAACCCCAACCCTAAACCCTAAACCCTAAACCCCAAACCCTAAACCCCAAACCCCAAACCCCAAACCCTAACCCTGACCTCTCTGGGACGCGGCATCTCCCCCCTCCGCCTGCGTCGTGAGAGCAGCCGCGCGCACAGCGCCGCTGGTGTTCAAGTTCGCCTGCGCGGGGCCCAAAGAGCAAAAAGGTTTAGCATTGAAAATTGCCACTATGATCTTCTATTAATTTATATATGTGTAGCCTAATATCTCTATATTCTTAAGGATGAGACAATATCTTAGATAAAATATAGTACAGAAATCGATGTTAGGCTTTAGGGTTTGGGGTTTAGGGTTTAGGGTTTCGGGCTTAGGGTTTAGAGTTTGGGGTTTTGGGGTTAACCAGGTAACCCTAAACCCCCAAGTAAGCAACACGCCTTCATGCGCAACAAGAGCACCTACTTTTCCAAGTGTTCCGTAAGGTGTAGCCCTTACTTACACGGGGTGTTGGACCCTCCATGAGCAAGAGCCATCCTTGAAAGGAAACCTTTGGGACGCATAACAAGAGCCCAAAACCCCTTGAGTAAGGAACATGGGTTTTGGGTTTAGGGTTTAGGGTTTAGGGTTTAGGGTTAGGGTTTAGGAATGTACCCTTAAACCATCTAGGGATCCTTAGTATGATTTAAGGTATATTCGTTTAGGGGTATTGGGCTCTTTGGCTAGCCCGGTGTTTTCCGCAAAGTGTTGTCTCAGAGAGAGAGAGAGAGAGAGAGAGAAAAAAAAAAACAAAGAGAGAGAGAGAGAGAGTTGTTGGTTTAGGGTTTAGGGTTTAGGGTTTAGGGCTTAGGGCTTAGGGTTTAGGGTTTAGGGTTTAGGGCTTAGGGCTTAGGGTTTAGGGTTTAGGGTTTAGGGTTTAGGGTTTAGGGTTTAGGGGTTAGGGTTTAGGGTTTAGGGTTTAGGGTTTAGGTTTTAGGCCTAGTAGGATTTAAGGAGCGTCCCTGAGTTAACTAAGGGGTATGGAAGTCTCTGGGACATACCCTCAGCCCTAACCCCGAGACTCGAGTACTCCTTAATTAAGAGAGGAATATTCCTTGAACCACATAAGGAACCCTACTATGTCTTCAGGAGCATTTCCTTAATGTCCCAAGGTAGATCGAGGATTTGTCGCCTCTAAAATGGTAGGACGCGGGCTGGTGTGCGCTGCGTTTTTTGGCATGCCTTGGGGTGTGCTCACGTTCAGAAGTGCAAAGAACCTAGGTTTTATTTGGGAACCAGGAAGAAACAGCACAGATTACTCGAAGGCCGCGCGCTTTGTAGTGATTTTGAGTGTTTCGCCTAGGCGGGAGGACAACAGAAAACTCGTTTAGACAACATTTTACTTTTTTCAAGGATACTTGTTGGGGCTTGCATGTGTGGGGCCTGAACCGTTCAGTGTAAAGCACAGACCCTCAACAAAAGTGCCATGGCAACGCAGACACGTTCGACAGGCGAAGAAAAAAAGTACCTTCAGTCGGCATGGATGTTCCCAACATGGATGTTCCCAACATGGATATTCCCAACCCACCCCTCGAACCCCTCTCCAAAAAAAAATTGAAAAAAATCAATGGACGCAGGGCGCACGAGACCACGTCCTACCTCAAACAAGCTGTGTAGAAGAATATTAGTAACTCTATACGGTAATACACAAAAAGTGGGGAAAAAGACCTGAGAGTTCTATTCTGGGGTTCAGGGTTCAGGGTTCAGGGTTTCGGGTTTCGGGGTTTGGGAATTGCCTGAAAGGAGAGGGTCGCCAGCTGGTTGTTGACCCTGCCAAGCTTGTAAATCGATGGCCCACCTGCGGGTGACCGCATTTCCCCCCCAAAGCCCTATATAAGAGACCCCTGAATGAAATCATGTTCCTTCACTGTGTTTAGGGTTTAGGGCTTAGGGTTTAGGTTTTTTGCGTAGGGTTTAGGGTGATTGTGTAGCACCTTAAACCATGCTAAGGATCCCTTATGGTTTAAGGTATATTCCTTGATTAAGTGATCCCTTAATATGGTCCCTTAAGAAGTGTATGGGCCCTTGGGTTTTGCAGGGTATATAGCCGGGAATAGGTGGTTTCCCAAATGCGGGCCCGTATTAGTGGACCATGTAGCGAACCTAAGCATCCTCCGCCTTACAAAACTGTAGTTTCTTTAGGCTTGTCATCATACTTGGGACCTTGTGCGACATAAAGAAGACCACTGTTCTTGAGGGGTGTCCAGCTTTTGTGTCCATAGACCACTGCACAGCCCAGAGCGAAAAGTTATGCTACGATTTTGAGAACTGCCCGTGTAAGTCGATCATGCAGATCATGCAGTTCGACTCCTGACTCGCGGGAGGGAGGGGAAGGGCAAACTCTCTAGTTTTCCTCTGTGTGTGACGCCCTTGTGTTGGCTGAACGACTGGTCTGCAGCATTCTGCAGCGAGTCGACCGGGACGGAAGCCCTCCTAACCCCCTAAACCTTGAACTCTAAACCCTACCCGACTATTTGCTTAAGAATCCCCCAAAACATCAGCAAAGATGCTTCCTGTAGGGATGTTTTTGGGGGTCTTGAGCAAATAGTAGTACCTCAAGACATCTCGCGCAGCTACCAAGCGGCGGCACTGGACGAGCAGCTCACCGGGGGCGAGCCTAGATCCGGCACATGGGCATGCCCCGCAGACATATGCTTGGATTTCCGAAACTAAGGGTACCTTATTGGGGTCCATATCATAAGGGGAACCTTACTATTTGGGGGTCTATATTAGGGTCCCATATTTTTTTCAACCCCAGAACGTATGTATGTATGTGTGCTGTGTTTATTCAATATCAGTTACGAGTACAAGTAGTCTTTGTATCTACCTCTGATTGGGTTTTTGTTAGACATGACACCGTATGTTCTTGTGGGTATATCCAGGTGCCAGAGTGCGAAGCAAAAGCGGGGAAGAGCTGCTGCAAGCGCTCCGCTAAGGCCGGAGCTCCAACAGGACTTTCGTAGTCCTTGTTGAGCTGCACCTGACTTGGAAAATCTAGGGGCCTCCTCAATCAAAACTGATTTCAGCTCATTCTGCAAAACAGAGCATGTGCTACGGAAGCCCATGCAGGCCGTCTGGGTTTTCAGGGCGATGTTTTCCTGTGTTTAGGGTTTAGGGCTGATGTGGAAGAGCATTCCATCGAAAGCCTAAAGCTCTTGCCACTTTCGGACCTCTCTTGCCAGAAAGGCCCAACAAAAAAACACGCCGCACACCAAACTGCGGCACAGTGACCTAGACTCAAGAGTAACCTAGGAATAAAAAGGGTGCCCTTTTCGGTTTACAGGGGCTTACAAGGGATACCCTTACTTTACACACTGGTAAGGAATTTACCATGGACTGTAACCCTAAACCCTAAACCCTAAACCCTAAACCCTAATCCTCTCTGTGGGCGTGCAGCACAGGAGCTTGGATTGAGAGAGAGTGCGGAAGTCGACCGCGTCGGGGTTTGCGTGATCTTCGAGGACACCGAGCACCCCATCCTCCACAGAAGGGTTTAGGGTTTAGGGTTTAGGGTTTAGGGTTTAGGGTTTAGGGTTTAGGGTTTAGGGTTTAGGGTTTAGACACTTCAGGGAGCCCAATCACCCTTACCTAGGGAATAAATCTTGAAACTATCAGAAAACTCTACTTAAAGGGTGTTGACATTTCCTGGGTTTCAGGCCTATCACAAACCCGACAGAGACCTTGAACAGGCCAAGGTATCGGGGTTGCTGAGTTTTCTGCAAGGTTTTGGCAACAAATGGCGCCAGATCACGCTTCCCGCGCCCGGGTACAAGAAGCAAACTCTCAAGATCAACGCATGCCGCCTTGTCCCCAGGTTTGCGCAACCCCTCAGAGACTCCATACCCCTTAACTCAGGAATAGTCCTTAAACCGTGCAAGGAACCCTCTTCTGTTGCAAGGATGTTTTCCTATTCAAGGAGTATTCGAGTCCCTGGGTCGCGCGCATGTCAGCTCCGAACGACGGCTCGTCTATACCCAACTTGCCATCTGAGACTTAGGATTTAGGGTTTAGGGTTTTGGGATTAGGGTTTAGGGTTTAGGGTTTAGGGGGCTGAAGGCCGCCCCCCCCACCAGCTATGAGAGAGACCTAGGGCCCTGTAGGGTTTAGGGGGTGGGTTGAGAGATGTGACTACTACTTGCTCAAGAACCCCTCCAAAAGAAATCAGAACATTCTTCCATATAAGGGCAGCATAGGGATTACCATTTGTGTTTTTGTTGAGGGCGGTTCTCAAGCAAAAAATGTAGTTGAGGGCTTAGAACCCCGAACCCTAACCCTAATCCCTAAACCCTAAACCCTAAACCCCGAACCCTAAACCCTAAACCCTAAACCCCTTCAAAGCTTAGAGAACTCCGGCACCTGGAAGCCCACCAGGAGCTCTCCGGTGCTGAGCACCAGGAGGGAAACGATCGGAAAGCCGATCCTGCCAGTCTTAAGCTTCGGGCTTTGTTGTAGGCCGAGGAATGCACCTTCAGATAAAATATGCACTTAAAAAATAAATACATATATATATATATACATATGTACATAGACATATATGTATATACGTATGTATATACATATACATATGCGTATATGTATACACGAATAATGTAAGAATCACATACATATATACACACATATATATATATATGTATTTATTTACTTATATTTATATTTTTTTATATCTAATTATTTATCTATTTATGTATATTTATTTATCGAATCATTCATTTACTTATGTATGCGGGTGTGTGCCCTTTTGTTAGGGGGGGTATTGGGCTCCCAGGCGTGTGTAATGAAACCCAGTCTGCCTCACCGCTGAGGATTTCAATGGGATGATAAACAACAAGCAGGCCCAGAACAAGCAACCAAAAAAACAACAATGAATCCCGACCCAGATCCAAAAAAAAGCTAATAAAAAAAGAAACTGCGCAAACAAAATAAAACATTTGAGGCAGGGCTGGGAAAGCCAAAGATACTAAAACGGCCACACAAGCCCCTTCCCCATGAGGTCCCCACAGCCACGTGCTAGCACACGTCCTTTCTTTCACCTCCCATTCCGCAGCCCCCTAAACCCCAAACCCTAAGGCCCTAAGGTTAGGCCAGCGGAATCCCAAAGAGCCCAAAACCCCTTAATTCAGGAATAGCTTTAGTCGTAACCCTATCCTTCCCTAAACCCTAACCCCCTAGGGTTTAGGGTTTGCTCAGCTGTCCCTGGCATCCGAGCAAGCTGAATGAGGGTCTTTTCGGGGTTACTATTTTTAGGTGGCCCCTAATATTTAGGGTACCCAAAAAGGGACCCTAAATTTTGAGAACTGACCACATATTGCCTCAACTCAGGTCCCCTTTCGAAACATTGTGTTGAAACACGCGTTTTCAGGATGGGCAAGCCCCATGACAGAAATTCTGCACCGCCTGAACATGATGTTTAGTTCGATGTTCATGATGGGGGGGGGGGTGGGTTTAGGAGCAGCGTTGATCGCAGTACATACATGCAGTGTCCCTGACACAAAGCACTCACTTTCTGACAGAATGAAGCTACAACTTGTGCACGCTTTACCCTTTTGCCACTGGATCTTAAACGCTAAACCCTAGACCCTTAACCCTAAAAACCCTAAGCCCTAAACCCTAAACCCTAAAAGCCCTAAGCCCTAAACCCTAGACCTGAAACCCTCTTGGCAGGCTTACAGTTCCTGCTTGGTGTGGCTCTGGTTTCTGTACTTTTCTTTTGCTCATGGGTGTAAAAAGGGATATAAATTTGGAAACTATACTTATAGGGTTTAGGGTTTAGGGCTTAGGGCTTAGGGCTTAGGGCTTTGGGCTTAGGCTTAGGGTTTAGGGTTTAGGGTTTAGGAAATGACCCTATTTAGTGTACGAAGAGCCCTACTTATGGCTGCCCATGAAACCTCCTAGTAAGAACGAATCGTTCCCACGTAAGGTTCGGAAGTTGTCAGGGGACAGCACTGGAGTGAAAGCCTGTCACGCTGCAAACTACGTTTCCTTAACTACGTCTTTGCTCAATTATTACAGGCTTTTGTTGTTGGTCTCTATTCTTTTCTGTTGGTCAGATCTTGTTTTGTTTGATGTCTATGCCTAAGACTTGCCCGCGCTACGCCCCTGCGTCCTTGATCCTAGGGCAAAAGAATGCGGAGAACCGCCGCCCGTAGCGATTGCCTCACACAGCGTGGAAAGATCGCTGCGTGTCCTATCTGCCGAAGAAGCTCCTCGTAACCCCCTAAACCCTGGCTGTCTCCTCTCCTGTCAGCTCCAACCCTCAACCCTAAGCCCCTTGTTGCGCCCTAAACCCTAAACCCTAAACCCTAAACCCCCGCATCCCTCCCAAAACTCCAAGCTGAAACAAGGCCAAGACGGAGCCCTTAACCCTAAACCTTCTTGCCAAGTTTAGGGTTTAGGGTTTAGGGTTTAGGGTTTAGGGTTTAGGGTTTAGGGTTTAGGGTTTAGGGCCTAGGGCTTAGGGCTTCGCGTGCAACGAGACATGCCTTTGCCGACAGGATCGCCAGCTCCCCCCGGCCGCGCCCCAGAGCCAGAGCACCGCCAGGGAGGGGCGAAATGCCTTGGCGCGGCGCCCAAAGAGCCCAGTGCCCGACAAGGGGGGGGGGGGGGGTTTAGGGTTTAGGGTTTAGGGTTTAGGGTTTAGGGTTTAGGGTTTAGGGTTTAGGGTTTAGGGGCTAGGGGTTAGGGTTTAGGGTTTAGGGTTTTCTTTTGCCACCCGCCTAGCAAACCCCCTCTGGGATCACTCCGCGGGGAACAGTCGTGGTTTTATTTGTCAATCTCTGCAAAAGGGACCCCGACTCACCCCTGCATGTGAGCACACATAAAACGTCACGCCAAACTAGTAGCAACGAACAGCAGGCAATGGGCCACGTCCAGGTCAAAGACAATGTGCCGTCGGGGGCTACTCAAGCTAGGGTTTAGGGTTTAGGTTTCAGGTTTCAGGGTTCAGGGTTCAGGGTTTAGGGTTTAAGGTCTAGGGTACCCAAAGTTTAAGGTTTTGAGCTTGGGTGGGTACCCAAAGAGACCATGGCCGTAAACAAGGAATGCACGCACCTTTGAATCATAATAAGGGTCCGAATCTGGTTTAAGGTATGTTCCTCAATTCAGGGGTATTGGGGCTCTTTGGGCCCATGGGGCCGTGGGGTGCGGAACGACTACGCCACTTCTGCAACCGACACTCAGTACAGCCTGCACCACCCGTGCCTGCAGTTTTCTAGCTCGAACGAGGCCGATCATGTTCGTCCTGGGGGCTGGGACTTTCCCGGCCTTTTGATTTACAAGACGAAGCATCTTCACACCCTAAACAGGCCGCAAACTAAGCACGACACCCTCTCCCCCAGGGGGTCCCTTTAGAATCTTCTGGGCCCCTGGTGCCACTTCTTCCATGCGTTCTGTGGCCCAGGTGCTGAAGGTGTTGATGGTGTACTGAACCTCAGCTGTTCTTGGAACCACTTTATTGAAGTTGGTGTCCATACAAGTGTCGCCAACACACACACACACACACACAAAGTTCCTTATAGATCGTACCACACAAGGTTTGCTGTACAGAACTTAGTTGCTGAGCTCATACAAGCCCCAAAAAAGGTGAACACTTCAGGTTCTATAGGGGGACATCGTACCCTAAAACCCTGAACCCTAAACCCTAAAACCCTAAACCCCGAACGTGTACTCATTCGAAGGAAACTCCAAACACCGCCCGAAGGAAACTCCAAACACCGCCGAGGGGGGTCCACCCAGATGGAAAACTGAGCGAAACCCTAAACCCTAAACCCTAAACCCTAAACCCTAAACAGCCGAGAAACTCCGCCCAGATGGAAAACTGAGCTTGCCATGCCGCTGCATGGCAGCAAGTCCTCGCCAGTCAGCCTCAGAACGACCCAGAAGACCGCAAAAAAAGAGCACTTTGGGGTTTAGGGTTTAGGGTTTAGGGTTTAGGGTTTGGGGGTTTAGGGTATAGGGTTTTAGGGTTTTAGGGTTTAGGGTTTAGGGTTTAGGGTTTAGGGTTTAGGGTTTAGGGTTTAGGGGTTGAGGGCTTTAAGGGTTCAGGGTTAAGGGTGTAGGGGTTTTGGGGTTTAGGGGTTTAGGGGTTTACGGGTTCAGGGTTTAGGGAACATTCCTGAACTCTCTGGGAATGGGAGGTTCAACAAAGGGGACCAATCCCCCGCTTTTGGCTAAATGCCCTGAGACAAATAAGCGGCCTCCGCGATACTTATGTACCCGGGGACAATACCCCTGAATTCAGGAATATGCCGTAAAATACAAGAGGGTTCCTGATATTGGAGTCTCTGGGAATGTATGTGTATCTGTGTGTACATCTGTGTAAGCATGTATGCAAGTATGCCTGTTGCAGGTGGTTGCACACACATGTGTAGGCGTGTTGAGAGTTTAGGGTTTCGGGTTTTGCGTGTCTATGTGTGCGTGTGTCTGTCTGGGTGCATGTGTGTATGTACGTGTAGGTGCAGACTATGCTAGTACTATATGACATGCATTGGGCCATAGCCACGCAAGTTTTGAATCCCAGGTGCGTGAAGAGTGAGTGACCTCGACTGCCCACAAGAGTGTCCTCAGTGTCCAAGACCCCAACACTCCACAGCTAGGAATCTTCCCGCAATGTCAATGGTTTTGGTTTAGGGTTATGAGGGATCTTAATGTGATCTAGGGAATGTTCCTCAAGGATTTTGTCCAAAACAGATGCCCCCAACAGACCGTCAACACTCGAAAATCTGTTCTGATAGGTGGTCTGCCCACCATCTTCCTCATGTTTCTTCTCTGCCTTGACTTGTGCATGCTGGCCGCTTGGGCGGATACACTGCAGGAAATTCCGCCGCGTTTAGGGTTTACAGTTTAGGGTTTAGGGTTTAGGGTTTCTCGACCCTCTGAGTCCGTTTTGTGCCCTGCCTCATAAACTTATCCATTAATTCATGCTGAGCATGCGCTGAAACGTGGTACGACCCTTGAACGGTCTCCTGAATCACATGGGTCATACTGGCCATCCAAGGGAATGCACACTCAGAGCCAGCAAGAAAGTGCAGAGCCAGCAAGAAAGAGCAAAACACCGCACTGCGCCGGCGCGCCGTCGTCTTGTCGAAGGCAGTGGTCTTGAATGGAAGGGTGCCTTGCCCGGAATTTCACACAGGCATCACAATTTCTCTAAATTATGGTCCCTTGCCCTTTGGGGTCCTGTTTCACACAGGCATGAGGAGTTCTCTAAAGTTATGATCCCTTTCTTTTTGGGGTCCTGATGCTCAGGCCCTGATATTTGGTGTACGCGAAAAGGGTCCCTAATTTAGAGAACTCACCAAATGACTCTGGAGCACTGCATGAAGATGCCCAACCCCGAAAAAGAGCAGACGAGCTGCGGCAAGCCACCGGTGGCCATTGGCGGCCCCATGCAGAGAAGGGCCTAGGATACGGTTAGGGTTTAGGGTTTCGGATTGAGGGTTTAGGGCTTAAGGGCATAGGGTTTAGGGTATATGGTTTAGGTTTAGGGTGTAGGGTTTAGGGTTTAGGGTTGAGGGTTTAGTGTTTAGGGTTTAGGGTTTAGGGTTTAGGGTTTAGAGTAGCTGGCACAAGTGGATGTGGAATCCGCATAAGCGTAAGATAGGAGCAGCCGAGCGGCGTGAAAGGCTGAGGCAGCTGCGCACCGGCCAGCCACGCCTGCGTTGAGATTCGGGTTTAGGGTTTAGGGTTTGGGGTTTGGGGTTGGGGGTTTGGGGTTTAGGGTTCAAGGTTTAGGGTTTAGGGTTTAGGGTTTGGGTTTAGGCATGCCCCGAGTGCGACCAGCACTGCCCTTGACTCCAATCTCAGGTGCAATCAACCAACTCCTGCTTGACAAAAAAACACATATTACCACGATATACCACACTACTATGATATAATAACCCATACTTGTATAATGCATCAAGAAGTATCATGAAGCTCCAATTTGATACAACCCTAAACCTAATCCCCTCCGAAATGCTGCCCGTTACCTACTCAGCTACTCTAAACCCTAAACCCTAAACCCTAAACCCTAAACCCTAAACCCTAAACCCTAAACCCTAAACCCCAAGCCCTAAACCCTAAACCCAAAACCCTAAGTGCCCGAGCTGCCAGGTGCCAGGGTAGTACCCACATTCTCGGCAGGTGCCCATAGCTGGAACCGCAGTCGCCCAGGCGACGTCGGCTTTGGCATTCGCAAGGGTTGAGGGTTTGGGGTTTGGGGTTTGGGGTTTGGGGTTTGGGGTTTGGGGTTTGGGGTTTGGGGTTTGGGGTTTAGGGCTAGGGTTTAGGGTTTAGGGTTTAGGGTTGAGGGTTGAGGGTTGAGGGTTTTGGGTTTAGGGTTTAGGGTTTAGGGTTTAGGGTTAAAGGTTTTTGCCGCCCGCATAGCTGAACTGCATGGGTTAAAGGTTTAGGGTTTAGGGTTTCGGGTTTCGGGTTTAGGGCTTCGTCTCCGATACGTCGGGAGTTGGTGGGCTCGCGTGTGCTGAGATGGTACTTAGTGATGCTGGGTGGTACTTCGTGCTTGGGCCCAACCCACGTGACGAAATTGAAGCACTGTGGATTCGCCGCGCGTCACATGGCGAACACATGCTTTCACTTAGACAGATGACCTTCCGTCTAAAAGCCAGCACAGGTCACTGCAACAGACGCAACTTTGCCAGGTAACCATGTAACATGAGTGCAAGGTCAGGAATAGCACATGGGCCATACAGCTGTCAACCCTAAACCCTAAACCAAGACAAAGCGATACGAGGACGAGTCCAAGCAAGAGCTAAGAAAAAACTGCAAGGTTTTGGGCTTTATATAGGGGCCTGAATGGTTAGATTATAGGGTTTTGGGGGGTCATTATAGTATAGTTACAAAAGGACCAGAAGAGAACAAAATTAGTCATTTTTCCGACCCCTATATTCGGCAAGGCTTGCATCGGTTTGGGGTTCAGGGCTCAGGGTTTGCCAAGGCCCGGACACGCCTGCGACACTCCTGGCAAGGAAGCACTTCCAGACATCTCATGCTCTCAGCGCGACACCCGCCCCCACTACCCCACGTGCAAGAAAACCTTACATGTAAGTTGGGGATGTTCCCCCTTCTCCTCTCAGTGCTCAATAGGGATTATTCTAGCAGCCCCTACTAGAATCCTATTAAGGAGCTGTTACGATAAGGGTGAACATCCCCAACATCGAAGACTTCAGGCATCCTTTGGCTTTAGTTCGACTCAAACCCCTCCCCCCCCCTGCTGCTTGAAGGTTCACGGGGTAGCGATAAGTCGGGTGAGAAGTGCACTAGATAGGGTTAGAAGTATAGTTCACATACTTATAACCCCAATTACCTATAGCATCTTCTAGCCACCCGTGAACCTGCAAGTGCCCCTGCACGCCTCGATGATCCACTTCGTGGGATCTTGCAACACAGCCTCAGCGTTGGCCTGATCCAAGTCGTTCAGAATCCTGCCAGCGGGCAGTTTAGGGTTCAGAGTTTAGGGTTTAGGGTTTAGGGTTTAGGCTTAGGAAACCTGAACCCCCAAAATCTTGCGACCGCGCATCCTACTACCCCAACCACCACCCCCCCCCCCAAGACTCCAACATCCCTTACTTAGATTTGACTTCGGGTCTAAGGGGTTTAGGGTTGAGGTTTAGGATTTAGGTAAACCCTAAACCCTAAACCCTAAACCCTAAACCCTTTTTTACAGCAGGCCTCGGTTCCCTAAACCCTAAACCCTAAACCCTTTTTACAACAGGCCTCGGTTCACAGCAGCCCGGTTCCAGCATCACGCTCACTACTGCAGAGCGAGCATTGACGCTGAGATCTCTCTGGATACTAGTTGAAAGGTGAAAATCTTACTATATTCTCTGAAGACTAAGTGATGAAGCTGCATAAGCTCAGAAGCGAAAGCCTCGAATATCCACTGCTCAAGAAAGAACTCGACATTGATGCCCGCAAACTCGAACTGTAGATACTGTAACCACAAGTGAAGGACATGCTGGACCTCACCAACACGAGTAAAACTCTGCATCCCCTCAACTTCATTCAACCATCCAACCGTCACCTGAAAAGATCCCGTCTCAGCATCAGTCAGAACGTGCAGGGACGCTCCTAAGCGCCACTCGGTCTGTACTCGCAGCGCATCTCTCCAGTGATGCAAATCACAACTGTGCACGATCGGGTGTTGCGGCTGGCATCCTAGCACCACACCAGTATGCATATTGAACCAGGCCTCTTTGTTGCTAGCTCGATGTTGTAGTTCATCAAAGTTCGATGGTACCCCCGTACTGTGTTGAAGTTGCTGTCTACCCCAGGAGAGAATATGTGACCACGGGCTCGGGACTGCAGCCTTGACCGAGTTCAGAGCCACGATTGCCTTACGGGTAATGTGCGACTGTGGTTGCCTTAGAGTGTGGCCAAGATACAACCACCTGCGCTTCAGCCAGATGCAACACCAGTCATGCTGGGGACACTGTGCCAGAACCAGCAGGGCGACTCGACGTCGGAGCCGGTGCAAGTGCATAGCGGCGTTGTGGTTGCACGAGCTGGGTATGTAGAGCCCAAGCATGAGTACGAAGATCGTGATTTGTAAAGTCCTAATGGCATTGAGGTATTGCTGGAGGGGTTCAAGCAACGGACTTAGCCAAAACCAAACACCACCCACATAGCAGTTGAGAAGACGCAGTACTCCTTTAGGATTAGTCCAGCAGCCCTTGCGAATCGCCCTTTGCAGTTTCTCATACGCCATATGCGCTGCACCATGTATCGGCTGAAGCATGGCCTCCGTCGAATCTTTGTGAACATCCGCATCAAAGTGCATCAGGGGCTTCTTTAGGTACTTGACACTGCGTTCCCAGGCTAGTTGTGGCACCACCGAACCCTCCCGAAAATTGTACGACTTGCCCAAACGAAGAACATTGGGATGCGACATAACGACAGTTTTTCGCAGATTTAATCGAAGCCCAAGATCATGTAGCACAGAGCACAAGTCGGCAAAGCATCGGTCGCACTGCTCCCAACTGACGAAGTTAAACATCATATCGTCTACATAAGCCCAGCCGTACGAGTCATGCCAGCAGGGTTCCTTCCGATGCGCCCACGTCTCATCCAGCTGACTGACCGCAAGGCCCAAGACGTAACTAAACAGCAACGCTGAATGTGAACCACCCTGTTGCACTCCTGTCGACTGGCCTTGCGACCAACTCTCTCCCCTCCAAACAAAGTGCAGATTGGGCCCCATGACTAACTGCAAAAGTCGATGCGCTTCGGCACCCAGGGTATCAGGACTGAAGGCAGCTACAAAGGCCGCGACCTTAGACTGGGATACAGAGTCGAACGCCGCTTGCACGTCGCAGCTGATCCAAACCCCGTATGTGTGTTCCCGACTCTCTTTCGCGACCCTTGAGTGTGCACATAGCAAAGCGTCCGCAACCTGCGAGCCGGCAAGGCCCCCGAGCTGCAACCCAGGTTTCGGCCAGTGCTGTTGCAAGCGGGAGATCAAAAGCCATGCGAAGACCTTATGAAGCACTTCGAGCAAATTGATCGGCCGAAGATCCTTGCATTCAAGTATGTAGTGAGCCTTCGGGATGAGGCAGACATATGCCTGAAGTAGATCGGGCGGAAGATCTTGGGACGTCAACAGGTTATTGAGGTGACATAAAAGCATGGCTTGACCATCCTCGTTGCGCCAAACTGCAAGCAAAAACTCATTGCTGATACCAGACATACCTGAAACCTTGCCTCGCTTCAGGCGGTCCAGAGCTGGCTGCACTTCAGCTGCGGTGAAAGGTTCTGGCGGGCACTGAGCTTCACGTTCGAGAAGAGTTTGCAAGGATCCCTTCAACGACTCCCTTTCAAGCGGAGTGGGCTCATTCCCAAACAGTCTGGAGTAGTGCTGTTTTACATGGTCGATGGACGCCTGTTCGCCACCGCTCTTCGCAACAAAGTCCTCAGTGTTAGGGGGCATCTGAGAACCACGATGCTTGAGGTACCTTATAGCCGAAGGATCTCCTTGCTCACTCTTGTCGTACAGGTCTTGCATCCACCTACGCCTGGCTTCATGCCTAGCAGCAATGATGACCCTGGTAACCCGAGCCCTCTCCAAAGGATCACTGGCCAATCGTCTTTCTTGACATAACTGTTTAATACCAGGAGGATCCCTGTACTTGAGGCTGGGGCTTGCAAAGGAGTGTTGGTTTGAGAGTCTCGACAGAGTCTCCCATTGCTGCACCAAGGTCTGCTCAGCAAAGGTGGCCGATGCTCCCTGAAGCTCAGCATGCAAAGGCTCGTGCGCTACACTGTGTCTGCGGCACTTAAAACGCCGATATCGCTTCCGCTTCCTCCTGATGGGGTGAGTTGGATCTTTGAGAGCAAGCTCCAAGCAAACACAGTCATGATCACTACCAAGAGCTAGGTGCGAATGTTTGATAGTAGCAACCTGAACTGAGGCCGCTTGGGGTACGAGGATGTCATTCATGGATCTGTTCACCATGAAGAAGTCCAATTCTGCCTCTGAGCACCTCCCAAAACGCGTCGGCTGAAAACTCTGAAGGATGCGACCGGACACAGTCGAGGAAAGTTGGATGCCACGAATACTTGAGGTCTCAGCATTGAAGTCACCCATGATTACACAAGGGATATTTTGACTGTCCATGCGTCTCTGTAGTTCTTGTATCTCCCTAAGGGAGGCCTGAAAAACTTCGTCTGAATTATCGCAATGGGGTAGGTGGCAACCAACCAAGCTCAAACGTCTCATCGAGCCCACGCAAACGATATCCACACCCAAAAGTCTATCTCCCTTCCAGCAGCCACTGATGTGATCAACACAGTCTTTGCTAACAAGGATCACTTGACTCAGGTGTGAAGAAAGCTCACTGCACGAAAAGACGTGATAGTCATGGATATCGTTGCACTCATGCATCGTGATCTGTGCAATGCCATCACCATAGTTCTGTACAACTGGAAGCGCGGAGACACCACCCACCTCTTGCAAGGTAATCATGTCAAGGCACTCCCCTGACTCCTCCATCCAGGCCAGGAAGCTTTCGAGGTTTTTCCCTTGTATGTTCCAGCAAGCAAACTTTATGAATTCAGGTTTTCCATAGCCAGGATCGAGGTTTCGGGTTCAGGGAATGGCACGAATTGCGGTCTCGACTTCACCCACCGACTTAGCACACTTGGAGGCCAGCAGTGTCGCATTGAAGAAGAACTGAGATTGCTCCCTGTATGCGTCCACGAACTGCTTCGGCATCACTCTGTCACCCGTATTGGCTAGTAGCTGGTTCTGGGTGCCCGCTGCGACTCTCTCCTTTCCCCACCAAAGGAGCTGGCGGCCCCAGTCAACTTCAAGCTGAGAGTCTGGAGCATCGCAACTCAGCCCACTCACCGCCTCCACAACTTCCCTTGCCATTCTAGTGCTTCTATTCTTTGTCCGAAGAGATTTAGAGCGATGAGGTGAAAAGTAAAGAAAATCTCCAGTGCTGGTCCTAGTCTTGTTGCTGTAAGACTGCTGAATGGCATAGAAGCGATCTCGGGACAGGTCATAGGGGAGCGAGGACAAGATGATGTTGGCAGTCTTGGAGCGCTTCCCAAACACATACGTCTTTGTGATTTGGGACTGATACTGCTGATCCCAAAGCGCAAGTGCCTCCGAAAGGTCTCTCTCGATTTCTCCTCGCGGTGTGTCTGTCGCCCAGCCACCGGCCAAGACGCGATTGAAATCTGTGTCTTGACCAGCGTTGGGAGAGCCACCACCATCGCTGCCCTTGCCAGACTCGCCTCCCGAGCCCGGGCGGGACAGGTGCTTGCTCCATGGGTCAGCTGAAGACGTGGGAAGATGCGGTCCTGAGGCTCCCTGAAAGGTCGGGGTAGTCAAGGGTCTCTGCCAAGGATCTGATGGGGGAGGTACTGCTCTGAAGTCAGACCCTGACGGAAACTTCGACTGGTTGCTAAGCTTGGTCTCCATGTCATCCAACCGTTTGTTGATTGCAGCCATGTCAGACTTTCGCTCGCTCGATTCCAGGGCCAGTTCATCATGTAGCATGTTAACCCTCTCATTGAAGCTGCCAAGATGACCAGAGAGCTGGGTAGAGATGACTGTAGCCATCTCACTTGTCAGTGACAGCTTGAGACCCTGAACCCAAGCCGGTTCCGAACCCCCCTCACCTTCAGTTAGGGCAAGATCACGACCACGCTTTCTGCAAGGCCCCTCCAAGTCCACATCTGAGCCTCCGAGTTCCAGCCCTTCGTCAGCGTTCTCGGGGGGGTGAAGACCCTGCATGGCGGCTTCCTCCATGAGCCCTCAAGACCTAAAGGCAAACCTCAACCCTTCAGGGGCCAGAGCCGAAACCTTGAGCCGTAGCCATTTAAACCCTAAACCCTAAACCCTAAACCCTAAACCCTAAACCCCAAACCCCTAAACCCTAAACCCTAAACCCTAAACCCTAAACCCTAAACCCTAAACCCAATAGGGATATACACGTGGTTGTGCGGAGTTGCCTCGCAAACTTCGTGAGCTGGGGGGGGGGGGGGGCTCAGGCTTCGGCATCCCATCTACCCCCCCCATCTACCCCCAGCGCCGCCAATGACCCTTTAAGGAAGGAACATTCCCGAAACCAGAGGTTTTCGGGCTTAGAGTTTAGTGTTTGGGGTTTAGGGCTCTGAGAAGCTACCTGCCTTCTGACACCGAGCTTCGAAACCTCCTGCCTCATGGCCACCCTCGGGTCCGTCATGCCAAGGGTCTGGATCACTTCCTCCATGGGTTCCCCGACTACCCCCCCTCTATAGGGTTTAGGGCTTTAGGGTTTTAGGGTTTTTGGGGTTTAGGGTTTAGGGTTTAGGGATTAGGGTTTAGGTTTAGGGTTTATACCCCCCTCTATACTACCCCTGTCAAATTCCCCCCAGGAATTAAGCTTGACTAAGTTTATTAGGGGGGGGGGGGGGGCCATGATTCCTGGATTTTAAGCACGGAAAAGAATTCAGGGGTAAGGGAGTTCGGCTTGGGCTGTTCCCCCTGACACTAACAGCTCCTTAGTAGGGATTCCAATAGGAAGGTACTATCATCCCCATTACTTGGAGGTTCAGGGTACTTATAACCACCAGTATAGCTGTACCTTATAAGCCCCCTAAGTCCCCTAAGCAGGTTACAAGTAGACTTATAACTGTGGTTATACGTAGACGGACTATAACTGTGGTTCTAAGTAGGAATTAGAGCTGTGGTTATAAGTACCCATGAACCTCCAAGCAAGGACTGCTAGTCTAAGGGAGAACATCCCAAGGTTCGGCTTGAGTGCACCTTTAGAAACCCCATCGCGAGGGGTTTCGGGGGGATGCAAGCGCCAGAAGAGCTGGGTTTCATAATATCTTTGGGATTTCGGGTTTCGTGGAGGGTTTCGGGTTTAGGGTCTAGGGCTTAGGGTTTAGGGACACCTAACCTGTGGTCTGGTAAACCGGATCTCTGCACCCGACTACAGAGGATTCTAACCGCACAGATCAGCTGAACCTGAACCCCACCCTAAATTCTAACTGCCAGACACCCACCTTGATGATGTGAAGGAAAAAAAGCAGCAGCATGGCACTCGCGCCACGCCACGCTGAACGCACAACACGTCACTGCACGCCTCCGAACCTCCCAAATTCTGGGAGTAACCCACAGGAACTAACCCTGTTTAGGGCTTAGGGTTTAGGATTTAGGGTTTAGGGTTTCGGGCTACACCACCTCTTACTTAACCCGAAACCGTAAAAAATTCGGGTCTAGGGTCCCAATGCCCCTTAGGGAGTGCACCTGAAACTAAAATATAGGGAACCCGTCAGTCAAAAAACCCTTAAAAACCCTAAACCGCCCATTTAGGGTTTACAGGATTTAGGGTTTAGGCCCTAACCCTTAAACCATAAACTCCCCTGAGATTCAACAAGGTTCTACATCCATATTCCTTAATGAAGGGATTAGGGCCATGGTTTCGGTTTAGGGCTTAGGGTTTCCGCTTTAGGGTTCGGGGTTTAGGGTTCCTTACTGAAGGGGTCTTGGGGCTCTCTGGGGCACTAAACCCTAAACCCTGAACCCTAAACCCCCAAACCCTAAACCCTAAACCCCGGGTCTTGGGGCTCTCTGGGGCACTCTCCCCCTGCAGAGCTCTCCTGAAAGCGGATCGGCGCAAGGAGTCCTCCGTGGCGATTGTACCTGGCCGTCGTCTTCGGGCGCCAGAAGACGGTTTAGGGTTTAGGGTTTAGGGTTTAGGGTTTAGGGTTTAGGGTTTAGGGTTCCCCAAAAAAAGCTTCAGGGCTCTGATTAAGCTTCTTGTTTTTTGTCCCAAAAAGAGGACTCAGTCATAAAGGCCGGTGGCCTCTTTATCTGTTACCCTTATACCTCAATGTAGCCCCTAGATACCCTAATAAACACCCCGAATATATGCCCTATAACACCGAAACCCTACTTAAAGAGGCCACCAACCCATATGAGGCTTCAGGGTTGTACTATGGGGCTCTTATGAAGCGTTTTTTTTGGGGGGGGGGGGGGGGGGGGGGGATGTTTCAATTCTAGGCATGCTACCCTAAACCCTAAAGCCCTTTTGAAGACGGACAAGCTTGCCAGCAAACCCTAAACCCTAAACCCGCAATTGTTGGGGCTCGCTTGCAGCAACCCGCAGCAACCCTCCACACTGTGCAGCTGGGCACCAGTTGATGGTCCTCTTCATCTTGGCACGGAACCTGTGATTTTGGGGTTTAGGGTTTAGGGTTTGGGGCTTAGGGGTTTAGGGTTTGGGTTTTAGGCTTATAACCATATTAGGGCACTTAAGGGGCCTGTAAGTGGGTTATAAGTACAGTTATAACTGATTAGCAAGTACCATGAACCTCCAAGGAGGGCGAGTAGGGTGAGGTCACAGCCTCGGCCGTGTTTCTACTGAACTTGGAACCCTAGCAAAAGCGTCAAGTTAGCTGTTTCTTAGGAACTATAGTACCCAAAAAAAAGGAAGTATTCCCAAGTATCCCTAAGAAAAGAGTAAGGGTTTGGCTTGGACGCGCGGGGCCTCTTACACGCACTGAATCCCTCGAGCACGGCGTGCGCTCGCCAACCCCCCGCCCCACGCGCGGGCTCTTGCCATGCGGGTCTTCACAGGATAGGTGTCTCCTGCATTTTGCCCCCCTAAATTCCCAAGCCCTTCACCTCTCTTGAAGCGCCTGTCACGTCAGCTGGCACGACAGGAGCGCCCATTTTTGCAAGAGACTTCTAAACCCTGAACCCTGAACCCTAAACCCTAAACGCGGCACGGATTCCCCCTGTTTGCTAAACCCTAGAACCCTTTGTTAACCCAGGAAACCCTACCCTGCAACCCGAAACTCCCTAAACAGCTTTGAAAAAACTGCCCTACCCAAAGTATCCAGTAGCCCTAAACCCTAAACCCTATACCTAAACCCTAAACCCTAAACCCTAAACCCCCAAAAACACCACCAACGATCAGACCGGGCGCTCATCAGTCTCCTGCTCTTCACCTTCGTCGGCCTTGCCTGGGCAAGACGGCTCGAGGAGTCTCTCGCTTCAGGAGGCCATGGGTTTCTTTCGGGTTTAGGGTTTAGGGTTTAGGGTTTAGGGTTTAGGGTTTAGGGTTTAGGGTTTAGGGTTTAGGGTTTAGGGTTTAGGGTTTAGGGTTTAGGGTTTAGGGTTTAGGGTTTAGGGTTTAGGGTTTAGGGTGTGGGGTTTAGGGTGTAGGGTGTAGGATTTAGGGTTTGGTTGTTTGTTCGGCTTTTTATGCCACATCTGAATGGACCTTGGACCCCTGAACCTTCGCAGCAAGTTCCACACTTCCTGGGCGGTTCTCTGATAAATCCCTTCGAGGGTTTAGGCTTGATGGCTTAGGGTTTAGGGTTTAGGGTTTAGGGTTTAGGGTTTTAGGGTTTAGGGTTTAGGGTTTAGGGTTTAGGGTTTAGGGTTTAGGGTTTAGGGTTTTAGGATACGAAGGTTCCCATACGCGCACGCAGCGCTCGGAGTTAGGGGAACCCAAATGGGGCCCTCAATTCGTCAAGGAACGAAAGGAAGGACCCTTATAAGGGACCTTAGGGGTTCTTTCGGGGGCTACTTAGGGATATAGGGACTATATAAGGTACATCTAGGAGTTCTCTAGGGGAATGAGATTAAGGGCCCCTTCTAATATCCCTTCATGTAGGGAGCCCCCCTGCTTGCATGCCAAGTCTCCTTTGCCAGCACCTGCGCGGGGTCCGAGGGTCGGGGGTTTCAGCTTGCTTGGCCCCAATAATTCAGGAATTCCTTAGGCCATATAAGGAGCCCTAATAAGAGGAATATTCCTACATTAAGGGATATTGGAGTGTCTGGGCACCCTCACATGAAGGAAGGGCTTCGGGTTTACATGTCAGGGTCCAGGGCTTATAGAGGTCACAGACCTTAAGCTATGATGTTCTGATTCAAAGGTAAGTTCCTTGAATCAGGCGGCATTTACTCTGCCAAGGTGCCCTAAACCCTAAACCCTAAACCCCAAACCCCAAACCCCACGCCCTAAACGAGGGACAAGAGGGCTTGGGGGCTTAGCCCCTGGTGCCCTTAAAACCCAAACCCTAAACCCTAAACCCTAAACCCTAAACCCCAAACCCTAAACCCTAAAGCCGCCTTTGTTGCCCGACTTGCTGTTCTTCTCATCCAGTTCCTCGGACTTCTGGCCTGCGAAGCTCGGGGAGCCCTAGAGCCTTCCCAGAGAGCCCAAAACCCCTTAATTAAGGAATAGGGTTTAGGGTTTAGGGTTTAGGGTTTAGGGTTTGGGGGTTAGGGTTTAGGGTTTAGGGTTTAGGGTTTAGGGTTTAGGGTTTAGGGTTTAGGGTTTAGGGTTTAGGGTTTAGGGTTTAGGGTTTAGGGTTTAGGGTTTAGGGTTTAGGGTTTAGGGTTTAGGGTTTAGGGTTTAATTAAGGAATAGGCCCTTAAACAAAACAGGGCCCTAGAGTATGAGCAGAGGCGTATTTCCTTAACTATACTAAGGGGGGGACATCCCAGCATGCTTCCTTAAGGGGCATGGGGCTCATTGGGTTTCTGATAGCCTACTTAAAACGTGCATAGCCTTTATGGTGGCCGACGTAAATCGTACATAAGGGCTGTATACGGTTTAGGAAGAGGACTTAGGGCTTGTATGTGGGTGGTGGTCAGAAGTATGGTCCCTTTTTGGGTCCCTATTACAATACGGCACCTAGGGTACCCCAAAAAGGGATCCTAACTTTACCACCCATGTCAGGGTTATACAAGGCCATCTTCCTTCATGAAGGGGTCTTGGGCTCTCTGGAAACGCCCAAAGAGCACAATAGCCCCTCAAACGGCATAGACCTTAGGCCGTATATGTGGACCCTTACTTGAATTTAAGGTGGTGTTCCTACTTAGGGTGTAGTCAGGACTCCAACACCCCTTAAGTCAGGAATTGTCCTGAAACCATCTGACATGTTAAGGAATATCCCTAAAAATCAGGGAAGCTGAAAGAGTAAGTGTACTTAGTATCCCCTAGAACCCACAATAATCCCCTATCACTTACTGAGTCAACAGGGGCTTCCAAGCAGGACCGCAAACCCTCCCAGCTGCCCACTACACCCCAAAACTCCAATATCCCTTAGTGAGGGGACATTCTTTAAATATCAAGACCTCACTACACGCGGGATTCCAATACAAGATCGTCAGGGGCCCTTATATAGGGGTTGATATAGGGGAATAACCGGGGGGGAGGGGGGATCCCTCCTTACCCCTTAATCAAGGAATATTCCTTAAACCATTTTAGGAACCCTATTACAATTCAAGGAATATTCCTTACTTAAGGGGTATTGGAGTCCGTGGGTACCCCAAAAAAGAATATTCTTCCCTATAAGGCTCACGTAGATTCCGAAGTCGTGGACTCAAAAGTGGGGACAATTTAAGGAATTCCTTAAACCATAATAAGGAACCCTATTGCAACTTAAGGAATATCCCTTACTTAAGAGGTATTGGAGTCCCGGGTACCCCTAAAAAGCGGGGTTCAGGGTTTAGGGTTCAGGGTTCAGGGTTCAGGGTTCAGGGTTCAGGGTTCAGGGTTCAGGGTTTAGGGTTTAGGGTTTAGGGTTTAGGGTTACCCAGGTCGAGATCGTCAGCTCTGTGCCAAGCCCCACACTGCGCCACTCGGGTACTGCATCCTTGGCGGCCACCTCGGGTTTGCCTGGGCAAAAGCCCTAAACCCTAAACCCTAAACCCTAAACCCTAAACCCTAAACCCTAAACCCTCACCTTCCAGGGTGGGGCGGGCTACAACACCCGTTTATACTTAAAGAAGAAACCTCCAACTCCAAAAGGGATCCTTCTTCTTGACTTAGGGTGCATTCCCCTAATTCAGGGGTTTGATGAACCCTACAGCCTCAATTCACGTATCATTTACGGTATACTCCTTAACTCAAGTGGTACCCTAAACCCTAAACCCTAAATCCTAAACCCTAAACCCGGGCTCTCTGGGACACTTAGGCTCCGCGCCCTCTGTCTTGTTGTTGCGCTCCTTGTGGTCGCCGTCCCTCTCTCCCTTGCCATCTCCCTGCCAGAGGACAGCATCCGTGGCTTTGAGAATGATTCAAGTATATTTTGGTGAGTGGCCCTAAACCCTAAACCCTAAACCCTAAACCCTAAACCCTAAACCCTAAACCGGATTAATAGGAATATACACAAGGCAACTGATCGAGTTCACACTGTGGCCTTGCCCTTCGTCTCGTTCGCCTGCTTGCGCAGCTTCGCCTCAGGACCACCCGCCCCTGAGTCGCAGGTCCCTGAGCAAGCCCGAAGTTTTCGCCTAAGGTTTCTGCGATTTAGGGTTTAGGGATTAGGGTTTAGGGTTTAGGGTTAGGGTTTAGGCTTAGAAACCCTCGACCCAACCCAACGTTTTGGAGCAACTCCACGCGGAAAATCTCGGATCAAAATGACACCCCGACGCGAGCGTCGCAGTCACCTCTTTCCACAAAGCCACTCACCCAAAGACCCCAGCACGCCTTCACTACGGAATATTCCCTTAACCATGCAAAGGAAAGAAAGAAGAAGCCTCTTCTATTTTAAGGACTATTCCTGAATTAAGGTCCCTGGGCATAGCTCTTTGTCCCACCTGGTTGATGATCCACCCCGTCGGATCCGTCAGCGTCTCCTAGATGTTTCAGCGCATGCGAAGAAGTACCACGGCATGAGGCTAAAACACCCTACTTGGAGGTTCATGGGGAGCTATGAAGTAGGGCGATAAGTATCCTAAGAGAGGGTCCCACGAACCTCCAAGACACACTAAACCCGAAACCCTCTAAATTCCAGGTCCTATGGAATTCTTATATGCTTCACATCTAGGCGCTTCCACTCAAACCTGGGGTGTGGTTTGAGAGCACACTGAAGGTTCGGGGCGCCACGCCCTGACATAACCTCAAAGAGCCCTTCATACCCCCTTACAGTAAACTCCCAAAAGTTGGAACAGGGTTTAGGGATGAATGGGATTCCCTTTAGTATACCTCTTGGGGTATGGGGATGAGGATGTTCCAACTTTTGGGGATTTACGGTAATCCGGATATAGGGCTCAGGGTTTAGGGTTTGAGCCCTTCATGCCCCTGAATTCAGGAGCGGCCGGTCCTTGGCCTGCTGGTCCAAATCGTAGAGGATCTTCATCGCCTATTTGGGGGACGAGGGAGGGAGAGAGAAAGAGAAAGAGAAAGAGAAAGAGAAAGAGAAAGAGAAAGAGAAAGAGAAAGAGAAAGAGAAAGAGAAAGAGAAAGAGAAAGAGAAAGAGAAAGAGAAAGAAACCCTAAACCCTAAACCCTAAACCCTAAACCCTAAACCCTAAACCCTAAACCCTAAACCCTAAACAAAAAAAAACTCCATTCGGACACTTCCCGAGTGCCCTTGCTCGAACCAGGGCTCCCGGACCTGAACCCCTGAACCTACTAATCCCCTAAACCCTAAACCCTAAACCCGAAATTATGAAAAGACTCTTCCTTCTTCAGGGTAATATAGGGATTGTTTTTTAAAATTCTTTTGGGGTTCTTAAGCAAATAGTCTTAAGCAAATAGTCGGAATTCTCAGCCTACAAGATCCCAAACCCCCCCTGAAGCCCCAGCGGAAGCCGGAACGCCTGGCTCCTTTGCATTCCTCCGCGACCCTACTTGGAGGGTTTAGGGTTTAGGGTTTGGGGTTTAGGGTTTAGGGTTTGGGGTTTGGGGTTTAGGGTTTAGGCTTTAGGGTTTAGCATCTAGGGCTACTACTTGGCTAAGCAGGGTCAGAGGCACCCAGAATCTGAGCTGTAAGTAGAGGTACCCTACTTCTAGCCCTACTTGCAACTACCCAAATGAACCTTCAAGCAAGCTCCCCTTGTTTTCACGGATCCTAAACCCTAAACCCCAAACCCTAAACCCCAAACCCCAAACCCACCGACCTGGCTGGGCTTGATCTCAGAGAGATGCTCGTGGACCTCGGACGCGCTGCTTGAAAGCTCCCGGGGCCCTTTCTTGCGGTACGGTCTCGGCCCAGGAATGGGGTTTAGGGTTTAGGGTTTAGGGTTTAGGGTTGAGGGTTGAGGGTTGAGGGTTGAGGGTTGAGGGTTGAGGGTTGAGGGTTGAGGGTTGAGGGTTGAGGGTTGAGGGTTGAGGGTTGAGGGTTGAGGGTTGAGGGTTGAGGGTCTAGGGTTTAGGGTTGAGGGTTTAGGGTTTAGGGTTTAGCCTGAAACCTCAAGCCTTAAAAGCCTGCGACACCTAAGGCTGCCCTCTGGCGCGCGAAGCGCATGGAGACTGCCAGCCCTAAACCCTAAACCCTAAACCCTAAACCCCAAACCCTAAACCCTAAACCCCTTATCCTGCCTAGGATCCCAGAAACAACGCGCAGGAGATGCCGAGGCCAAGGCTAAGTTGAGACGAATTTGCTCCGCGAGCTGGCCGTGCTTGTTGTACCAGTGCACCGTCCTACAGGGCTTAGGGTTTAGGGTTTAGGGTTTAGGGTTTAGAGTTTAGAGTTTAGGGTTTAGGGTTTAGGGTTTAGGGTTTAGGGTTTAGGGCTTAGGGTAGCATCTGCAACCCAAACTGAGATGCAGGACTCTTGTTGTCAGTGCTGCCAACGCAATGAAGGCAAAAACCATTTCAGACTTGGGTTGCTTGCTTCTTCTTCTTCCTCTTCTTCTTCTTCTTCTTCCTGTTCTTCTGCATCGGTCTCTTCTCTGGGCAATCGTCAAAGGGTCGCGCGCCTCTCCAGTTCCGCTGACGTGCTTCACGCTAGCAACCCGCCTTCGTGAAAGTGAAAACAACCAGGCCTATCAACCCTGAGCATCCGTAAGCCTTAAGCCTTAGGCATCAGCTCTTTTCCGCGCATGCGCACATGGCGAACTGCAGTGACTTCCCGCGGCATTTCTCGCGGCAGTCACCTTCGGTGAAACTCGGAGGGCTCACTAGCATCCCGAGAGCATCCTCAGCTGCTGCCATATGAGTCGGGATGGTCCCCCTTCGTTATACTAACAGTGTTTCATACGGATTCTAATAAGGGGCAATATAACCCTGAACCCTAAACCCTAAACCCTTATTATAAGGGGGCATCTGGCGGTTTCCGACATTAGGAGTGCCTTATTCAGGTCCTTATCATTAAGGGAGCCTACTTTTTAGGGTCCCCGATTTTCGTAAACCCCCATATGAGTTTAATCGCTCACACTTGAACAAGCCAGGCGAGGCACATGAACGTCCCAAGTGCAGCCACATGAGTTTGGGGCTTAAGGCTTAAGGTTTAGGGCCACACTTAAGGAAGACCTCGAACCACAGGAGTGCGTGTCGCGCTATCAGCACCTGATGGCCCTGACTGCCATCAAGGGGCCGCGAACGCGAGGGCAGGTCTGCATCCTTCCGTGGGCGGACGCGCAGCCAGTTGGGTCAGCACGCCCAGCTTAAGGGCTGTGCACATGCCAGACTGTACATGCCTTTTGATCAGACATAGACTCACCCTAAACGATGATCCTAACTTTGACTTTAAATTCTATCTGCATAAAACAGAATTTAAGCTAAAAGCTGTTACAAAGAAGAAAGGCTACAGCGCCTTTTTTGAGAGCACAGGGATGCTCCTAAAAAGAGCGGACGGGGTCGCCTTGAAGCAGTTTCCCAGCTCGCGCTTCCCCTTCAGCACTTCCGCAGCCACCTTTGCTTTTCGCTTCTCAACGGCTTCACTTTATTTAGGGTGTAGGGTTTAGGGTTTAGGGGTTTAGGGTTTAGGGTTTAGGGTTTAGGGTTTAGGGGTTAGTGGGTTTAGGGACTTCTTAGTTGTCCAGTAACCTAGGGGAACTGAAGGTTAACCTTTGGGATTATAAGGGGATTTTATATTACCCCAAGAAGGTTACAGGTTACCTACTCTACTACTAAGACTTCAAAGGCTTTTCAAAGCGCAACTTCTCTTTTCAGCCCAACACACCTGAATTCAGGAAGCCCTACATCGTACAGGACCCTAAACCCTAAGCCCTAAGCCCTAAGCCCTAAACCCTAAACCCTAAACCCTAAACCCACATTCCGTAATTAAGGGGGTTTTTAGGGCTCCCGCGGCTTTCTCCCTTGAGAGCACGCGTCAAGCCGCGGTAGCACAGCTCCACACCCAAAGAGCCTCTTTGTAGTCCTTAGGTGTATGCCTCAGACCATACAAGGCTTCTTATGAATTGAGCTACTTTTTTTCATTGAGAGGTACATTGAGCTTTTGGGGCGTGCCCCCCAAACCGTGTCGGCTGTGGCACGAGACGGCATCCCTAAACCCTAAACCCCAAACCCTAAACCCGAAACCCTAAACCCTAAACCCGAAACCCTAAACCCTAAACTTTGTGGTTGCGCCTGGTGCATGCGCCTCTGCCGCTGCCTTCGGGCCAGGTGTTGCTGCGAGCGTCGCTGGAACTCCTGCGGCGGTGAGGGGTATTGGAGGTTTCCGAAAGTGGGGGTTCCCTTTTGGGAGGTTCCCTCAAAGGGTTTAGGGTCTAGGGTTTAGGGTTTAGGGTTTACGGTTTAGGACGTCTCAGGGGGTACCTGGTGGTGCTAAGTACCATCACGGCAGCTGGGAGCATTCGGCACGGTTTGCAAAGAGCCCCATACCTCCTGATTGAGAATCATACCTGAATTCCCCGAAACCCTAAACCCTAAACCCCAAACCCCAAACCCTAAACCCTAAACTAGAGTGCAGGGCATTATGCCTCAATTGAGGTGTAACGGGCTCTCTCTGGGCGGTCTCCTTCTCCCGGTCATTGCAGAGCACCTCTTCATTGGAATCCTCCACACAGCAGCCAGTCGATGAGGGATTGAAGGTAACAGGGTTTAGGGTTTAGGGTTTAGGGTTTAGGGTGTTGGCACCTGCATAGCTTGGGGTTCAGGGTTTAGGGTTTAGGGTTTAGGGCCCAACCCACAAACCCTAAAGCCCTATGGAGCCTAAATGCCAAGAACCGCAACAGCCAAATGCGGTGAAGGATTCTTCCTTAACCAAGCGCCTAACCTAAACCTCTCTTACCATGTATATATAAGCCCCAATTGTTTTCGTGGGCAAGGCTTAGTGGGCAAGGCACAAACCATAGTGGGCAAGGCACAAACCATAGTGGGCAAGCAAACCATCATAGTTGGCAAGGCACAAGCCTTAGTGGGCAAGGCACGCCCGTGCCTTGCCCACAAGGTTTGTGCCTTGCCCACCAAGGTTTGTGCCTTGCACCCACTAAGGTTTGTGCCTTGTCCACTAAGGTTTGTGCATTGCCCAGTAAGGTTTGTGCCATGCACTTTTGGCCCACGAAGAGACAAACTTTAGTGGGCCAGGCACAAACCTTAGCGGGCAAGGCACGTGCTGCCCACCCTCCCCCCCCCCCCCCCCCCCCCCCCCCCCCCCCCCCCCCCCCCCCCCCACCTCCCCCCCCCCGCATCTACCCCTCCCCTCCCCCCCCACCCCCCCCCCCTCAATCTCCCTCCCCCCCGCCGCCCCCCCCCCCCTCATTCAGTGTTTATGGAGCTTTGGGTATGGGAAGGCTTGGGGTTGAAGGCGCAGCTGAAAATGAGAAGCGTATGTAATCTTAATGTTATGGGATTCTCCGGGTGGGTGGGTACGTCTCCATCACACGAAGAAAAAGCTTGACTAGTGAAAGCTAATACGTGAGCTGCTGAACCCTAAAGCCTAAACCCTAAACCCTAAACCCTAAACCCTAAACCCTAAACCCTAAACCCTAAACCCTAAACCCCAAGCACTGCTCGGAGTGATGGCTGCACCTCCTCAGGTGGGGCTACCTGGAAGAGCCGCCAGCCAGTGACCTCTCCATGGCTTCGGGTTTTGAGGGTTTAGGGTTTAGGGTTTAGGGTTGAGGGTTTAGGGTTTGGGGTTTAGGATTCGGGGTTGAGGGTTTCGAGGGTTTTGGAGCCAGAAAGAGCAGTTTGCCCTCAGTTCTGGACCTAACCCCCCCCCTTGATGAAGGAAATACCTTAACTGTCTAGAATAACCCCCTTAATCAAGGAACTACCTCAACGCCAAGAACTCCTCGAGGAGCTCGGCCATGCGACACTTCAGGGGTTTAGGGTTTAGGGTTTAGGGTTTAGGGTTTAGGGTTTAGGGTTTAGGGTTTAGGGTTTAGGGTTTCATACGAAGATGATCTCTATGCGGTTAAACCACAGTTATAAGTCTACTTATGACCTACTTAGGGGACTTAGAGGGCTTATAAGTACAGTTGCCATTATGGTTACAATCCAAGTACACCCAACCGGCTTGGGACCGTTGTAAGTACGGTTTGGGGTTTGAGTTTGGGACGGTTTAGGGTTTCGGGTTTAGGGTTTGGGGTTTAGCGTTTAGGTTTAAGTACCTGAATTAATGGGTTTGTAAGTTGCAAGTTATAACCCTACTTACAACTACCCATGAATCTGTGCCCAAAGCCCAAACCCTTCTTTGATGCCAGAGTCCTCTAGCCGCGAAAGCCACCGCCAAGGATTGATCTAGAAAGTGCATTACTTCGCTGTCCAGAAACCTGGGGGAACTAAAGGTTAACCTTTGGGATTATAAGGGGATTAGATTTCCCCAAAAAGGTTAAAGGTTACCTACTCTACTACTAGGATAAGACCGTCCCCTGCTGCAGGCCCACCTGATCACTGGATGCCAGCTCCTTCCTGTGTTCTGGAAACAAGGTTGGTGAGGCGTTCAGTTTGGCTTCTTGGGCAAGGCGCACGTCGTCCGGCACGGCCCCGTGCCCCAAAAAAACAGGCATATTTCCAAACCCGGCAGCGGAAAAAGTGCCTCACCGAGAAGAACCCAGAAATGAAGAATGATACCCAGATGCTCTCAAATAAAAGTCATAGTAGGATCCCTAAATTGCAAGCAAAGGTACAGTAGATTCCCTCACTTCAGGAATACTCTTTGAACAAAATCGCAAGCACAGGTAGATTCCCTCAATTCAGGAATGCTCTTTTAGATCATCTTTGAACAAAATCTACAACAAGCTTCGGAATATTGACTTTCAGGGATAATGGAGTCTCTGGAACTCAGAACCTCCTGAAATCCTTGTGCATCTGCGCTTGACCCTAATCTCTGAACCCTCAACCCTAAGCCATAAACCCTAAACCCTTAAAAAAAAACCTAAGCCCTTAGCCCTAAGCCCTAAACCCTAAACCCTGAACCCTAAACCCTAAACCCTTAAAAAACAATCAGGTGTGATCCTTAATTCCGGTGTAGTGGGCCCTCCGGGTCTTACAGTACATACCTCCCGCTGTTGCAAGAACCCCAGCCCTGCCTTCACTAGCCTTGAAAGGTAGGGTTTAGGGTTTAGGGTTTGGGGTTTGGGGTTTGGGGTTTGGGTTTGGGGTTTAGGGTTTAGGGTTTGGGGTTTACGGTTTAGGGTTTAGCGCTCCCACAAGTTTGATCTCAGTGGCAAGTACTTGAGCATCAGCGGGCCACGGAACTTGCTGTACAGCTTGCGAACGTTCTCCTGAGATTGCGCAGGTGCACTGTCCCCAGGGAGAAACCTAAATACCCAGAAATAACCGAGAGGTTTAGCATGGTTTAGCGCGTAAGGACCCTAAACCCTAAACCCTAAACCCTAAACCCTACACCGTTTATGGGGTCTGGTCCTTCATGTCTGGCAGGAACCGAACATGACTTAAAGGAATATTCCGCATCTCAGGGGTGCTGGGCCCTCTGGCCCTGCTCCATTCATGGACACAGTATGCACCCGCAGGTATGTATACTTAGTTTTAGGGTTTAGGGTTTAGGGTTTAGGGTTTAGGGTTTAGGGTCTGCTTTCATGTTATGTGAAGGTCGTGCCATATAAGGAGATAAATGTACAGCATATTCATGTGTAAGTCATGCGTGCTGTAATACAGGCACATACATACATACATACATACATACATACATACATACATACATACATACATACATACATACATACACATACACATACACATACACATACACATACACATACACATACACATACACATATACATACACATATACATGTACATATACACATACATATACATATACATGTACATGTACATGTACATATATATATATATATATGGGCATAAGAATATGACATATGACATATGACATACGACATATGACATATGACATGTGATATATGATATATGATGTATGGTATATGATATATGATATATGATATATGATATATGATATATGATGTATGATATATGATATATGATGTATGATATATGATAGATTATATATGGTGTATATATATATATATATATATGTGTGTGTGTGTGCGTATGTACGTATGTATGTATGTACGTATGTATGTATGTATGTATGTATGTGTGTATGTATATATCATATATCATATATCACATGTCATACGTCATATATCATATATCATGTATCATATATCATAAATATATATATATATGTATGTATATACCATATATCATATGATATATATATATATATATGTATATGTATATGTATCATATCTATATACATATATCAGATAGAAGCTTATATAGAGTATTCTACTTAGATATACACATATGTTTCAAAATATGTATATATGCAGAAGCGCACATTTCTTCGCGAAGCCTGCAAAATTCAAAGGACATTCCTGAATCGAGGAACATGCCTGAAATGAAAAGAATGGTTTCTTGTTATGGTTCCTCAACTAAGTGTACAGGGCCCCAACCTCAAATTCTAAACCCTATTATAGGGTTCCCAAAGGTTCCCTAATACTCCCCAATACTCCCGAAGGCTCCCTGAGCTTCCCTAAAATTCCCTGGGTACCTACCCCCCATGAACCCCCCTCCTTAAGAACCCTATAACCCTAATCTAGACCCCAAAAAAGTAGGATCACCGTAGGTATATGTTCTAAGGACCAGTAGGGTTGTATGTAAGTTCCCTACTTACTTAGAACTACCCATGAACCTCCCTAAACTCTAAACCCTCAACCCTGAACCCTAAACACTAAATCCTAAACTCCCAAACCCTGAACCCGAAAAAACCTTTTGGACCGCCCAGGCTCTCTAAGGTACCAGCATGGGAGAAGCGAAGCCCCTTTGACCCCAAACCCCCCTCCTCGGGTAAGGATTTAGGGAGTGGGGCTCCAGGTTTAGGGTTAAGGGCTCCAGGTTTAGGGTTTAGGGTTTGGGGTTTAGGGTTTGAAGGTGTATGGTTTCGGGCTTCAGATTTAGGGTTTAAGGGCTTGGAGATATATTGGGCTTTCAGTGCAGCCCGGTGGTCCGGAATCTCGTCACGCACGCGCGGCTCGGCCAAGCGCGGCGACTGAGCAGGAGGGCCGAAGGCTTTTAGGAGTTTCGAGGATTCAGGGTTTAGAGTTTAAGGTTCAAGGTTTAGGGTTTAGGGTTTAGGGTTTGGGGTTTGGGGTTTGGGGTTTGGGGTTTAGGGGTTTAGGTTTCATTTGGTACACTTCTCGATTTGTGTGTGTGTCAGCCTTGCACAAGGGCCATGCTAATCTTCCATCGTTGCATTTTTAGGGTTCAGGGCTTATGCCTTGAATTGCTATGGGTATCCTCATATGATTTAGGAAAAACTCCTCGGTTCCGGGATGTCTGGGAATTCTACCGTTTGGCCTCCCAATCTCGGATCCACAAGTGCTCCCCCGAAAAATACCCAAGATCTCTTAAGTACCACATCGGGTTTAGGGTTTAGGGTTTAGGGCTAGCTCGTAGGGGTAAAGGATCTCTACATTGTTTGGGCCTATTCACCCTGGTGAGGAAGTATGGGGCTCTCTCGGGTCAAGTTTTCTACACCCAAAAACCCTTTGGAGCCGTTCCTTCTAAGCCCTAATGGCTCCTTTTGAACCGTTTTTGAAACCCTAAACCCTAAACCCTAAACCCCTAAACCCCTAAACCCTAAACCCTAAACCCTAAACCCTAGGCCCGCGGCCGGCTCGGCTTCACGTTGCTCCGGTGTTGGGGCCCGGTCATCCTCCTCGGCACTGCGGAAGAGCTTTCGGTAAGGACCTGAAACCATGTAAGGATTCCAAATCTGAAACCGAAAGACCTTAATTGAGGAACAGACCGTAAACTATATAGGGACCCTTAGTATGACTTAAGGCGTCTTCCTTGTTTAAGGGGTATTGGGCTCACTGGGAATGTGTAACTCAATGTATTCCAAGAACTTGAACCCTAAACCCTAAACTCTAGACCCTCGCTCTCTCAGGTACTAAACCCTAAACCCTAAACCCTCAACCCTAAACCCTGAACCCTGAACCTTAAACCCTAAACCCTAAACCCTACTACTTCATCCCAGGGGTCGATCAGCAAGGGTGCCGTGGCGGTGCGCATGCTGGCAGTGCTCGGGACCTGAGCTGCAAAGGGATGTCCCGTTTAGGGTTCAGGGTTTAGGGTTTAGGGTTCAGGGTTTAGGGTTTAGGGCATAGGGGTTAGGCTTTAGGGTTTAGAGTTTAGGGTTGAGGGTTGAGGGTTGAGGTTTAGGGTTTAGCGGGTTCGGTTCAGAACCCTCCAGATCACTCAGCATGGACCTGGAATCCTTATGAGAAGTCTTGAGCCAAGGCACTGAAGTCATGAAATTCATGGATGTGTGGCTGGCCTGCCGGGCACCCATCCCAACGGAGCTCTCGGCCTGACAATGCAGCAGTGGAGGGGACAACGAACGCAGGGTGTAATGGCAAGCCTGGTTCGGGGGGGTCGCAAACACTTGCCTAACTTTTCTGCAGGCACTACATATGCCGGGGTTTAGGGTTTGGGGTTGAGGGTTGAGGGTTTTAGGGTTTAAGGTTTCTGACCCAAGCAGATTTTGACCGGACACATACGACAGCTACTCTCACGCTCCTCTCCCGTTTCCTCCGCATGGCCATTTGGAGAGCCCATAAAACCCTCTTAATTCAGGAAATGTGCTCTACATCATACGAGAGGTCCCTCTATAGTTTGAGGTCTACTCCTTAACGAAGGGGTTCGTTAAAGGCTGGCCGGGTTTGATTAACATTCTACCATAAATCGTACTACTAAGGGTCTCTATGTCGTTTAAGGTCTGTTCCTTACCCAAAGAGCCCAATACCCCTTAATTAAGGAATGTTCCTTAAATCATACTAAGGATCCCTCTTTGGTTTAAGGAATATTGCTTAACTAAGGGGTTTTGGGCTCTCTGGGAGTAGTTGCTTAAGAACCCCCCCAAAAAGTAAAAACATATTCTTCCTTATAAGGGTAATATAGCCTTAGCCCTATGGTAGTTAAGGGGTCTTGGGCTCTCTGTTCACTCCAGGGCACAACGTCCGAGCGCGCGCGGAGCTTCCGCGGCTTCGGTCGGAGCCGCGCCAGTCGCAGCTGCCGCTCCTTGCTTGCTGTTTGGGGGTTTAGGGTTTAGGGTTTAGGGTTTAGGGTTTAGGGTTTAGGGTTTAGGTTTAGGGTTTAGGGTTTAGGGTTTAGGGTTTAGGGTTTAGGGTTTAGGGTTTAGGGTTAGGGTTTAGGGTTTAGGGTTTAGGGTTTAGGGTTTAGGGTTTAGGGTTTAGGGTTTAGGGTTTAGGGTTTAGGGTTTAGGGTTTAGGGTTTAGGGTTTAGGGGGAATGAGTAAGCTTGTCGCTGCATTTTGTTGGGTCAAGGTCTCGGATCCAAGGAATTAATATAGGGGGCCTTAATACTTAGGGTTTGGGGTTTAGGGTTTAGGGTTTAGGGTTTAGGGTTTAGGGTTTAGGGTTTTGGGGTGGAGTATTATAGTGTTGTTATAAAGGGACCATAAGGGAACACTATTTGCAACTATTTCGACCCCTAGTACAGCGTACACCGATCACATCTCGGAGGAAAGCCAGGGGGATGACTTTAAGTCCACCAGTCAACTGTTTTGGGAAATAGCGAGGACATGAAACCCTAAACCCTAAACCCTAAACCCTAAACCCCAAACCCCAAACCCTAAACCCTAAACCCTAAACCCTAAACCCTAAACCCTAAACCCTAACCCTAAACCCTAAACCCTAAACCCTAAACCAACCAGCTTCTCGTTGGCACCGGGCAAGCTCTCACTGCAAGGCAACAAGCAGTGGAGGTCTGAGGAGACGATGTGCGAGCTGCCAGAAGCAACAATCTAGGCTTTAGGGTTTAGGGCTTTCTTTTTGCCACCCGCCTAGCAGACCCCTTCTGGGATCACTCCGCAGGGAACATTCGTGGTATCATTCGCATAAGGACCCCGATCCTCCCCTGTCCTCAGGGTTTACGGTTTAGGGGTTTAGGGTTTCCATGACAACACAGGAATCCAAGCTCGAAATTCTCCAGACGAGGTCCTCCTGCTTCGCAGCTTTCTCGCGCTTGACGTATTCCAAATACCTTCAGCTTCCCAGGCGTCCCACAGGACTCATGGTTTGGGGTGGAGGGTTTGGGGCATTGGCTTGCTTGGAGGCTCATGGGGGATTAAAAGCAGGGATATAAGTACCGGAAATGGGGTTATAAGTATAGTTGCCATACTTCTAACCCTACTTACAACCAGAGGATCGCCTAATCTTCATACTACACAAACTGTGGAGGTCTTGTTTTGTTCTTTTCACCACCTGAGCGGTTGAGGCAAACTTAAGGTGCTTTTGAACCCAGGGTTTTGAGGGACTACTATAGTATAGCTATACAGGGACCCTAAGGGAAGACGAATAGAAATTATTTCGACCCCTATACTAAATAGCTACCCCACGATCCTCTATCTGACCATCCAGGCTGCTCCTCTACAAGCTTCATCTCATCTTCGTGCTGCCGTCGTTGCTGAGCATCCTCAGACATGCAGCGAGACGGATGGGAGTTTGACAGTTGAGGGTTGGGCCTCTCCCCCTTATACTAACAATCCTTTTTTGGGATTATGGTACCCCTTATTAGGATCCCTATTGAGGACTGTTTGTACAAGGGGGAACATCCTAAGGATCCCAAGGTTGAGAGGGCAATCACCTGCAGGACAGCACAAGCCTCAGGCACCACACGTGCCTTCAACATTGCAGCTGCCGCATTCCCCAAAAAACCATAGGAAGGCCCAAACGGAGGGCCCCCCCCCGCCTTTTAAGTCCACCACTTTTGTCGTGCGAAACCAACATGCTGGTTTGCGCCTACCCACCCACCCGCCATTCGAAAATCACAAGCTGCGAGTCGTTTCTTTTCAACAACGAAACGCCCCAACGAAAGGTGCAAAGCTCACACCCCCGAAGCCCTAGCCCTTGTCCCTTCTTCCTGGACCCCAAAGAAGTCAACGGATATCCTACCTAAACCCTTTTTGCATAAACCCGGATCCTAGAAACCCTAAAAGACCTTTAAAAACCTGAAAATATCCAAACCTAAATGGACGGAAGTACCGGACCCTAAACCCTAAACACCCTAAAGAACCTTTAACAACCAAAAAGAAAACCGTTAAAAACCCTAACAAACTAACAAACCGTTAAAAACCCCTAAAAACCCTGAAGTCCCTTGAAAAACCCTAAAATGTACAAACCAACTTGACGGAAGTACCGGCATGCCCAGCTGCCCGCATCTCCTGCTGGCGCCGCATTCGTCGCCGCAGCATCTGCGGCCTTGGCATCCGCGACGCTCCCGCGATCCCAGAAACCTCCCAAACGTCCGGAAGGAAGGGTTTGGGGTTTTGGGTTTAACGGTTTCGGGTTTAGGGTTTGGGGTTTAGGGTTTAGGGTTTAGGGTTCAGGGTTCAAGGTTCAGGGTAACTAAGGAGTAGTCCTACATAAGCTTGAAAGAGAACCCCTTGCCCCTTAACCCCAGAAGGTAGATGAGCCATGATGAAGTCCTGAAGCCAGGACACCCTCCCAGCTCCTCCGAGATTCTCCAGGCAGTCTTCCCAGCGTCCAACGACGCCCGGCAGTTGCAGACGCCCTAATCCCCAAACCCTAAACCCTACACCAAGGTCCGGGTGAAACCTCAACTGCTGCAGCCTGTGATTGACTGCTTTTCAAAGGACTCGAAGGTCTGCCCCAAGCCCGAAATAACCCCGACGTCCCCGGGTTTAGGGTTTAGGGTTTAGGGTTCAGGGTTGAGCGTCCCCCGGTTCAGGGTCGCCATGGCCTGTCTTGAGCCAAACGCAGCCATGGCCATGAAAGCTCACACGAGTGTCCCCCAAAACCGGCAGTCAGTCTTCGACAAAACCCTTTAGCGTCCCTCTTCGGCTCAGAAGAGTCTCAGGTCCAGCTGACCTTAAAAGGTATAAGGGGGGACCCCTAGCAGGCTTCCAAAATAACCCCTATATTTACCTTATAGCGTCCCCATATACTTAAGTAGCCCCTAAATAGCTCCCAAGGTCCCTTACAAGGATCCCTCCTCGAGCTTGTAGGGTTCTTAAGGGAGGGGGGTTCATGCGGGGGGGGGGGGTAGGTTTTAGGGTTTAGGGTTTAGGGTTTAGGAGTACCTCGGAGCTTCTAGAAGCCTAGGGACCCTAGGGAGCCTTAGGGAGTAGTAGGGAGCACTAGGGAACCTTGGGTTCCCCTTGAACCCGCCTCCCCACCCTAAACTTAAACCCTAAACCCTAAACCCTAAACCCTAAACCCTAAACCCTAAACCCTAAACTTAAGAAGTCCTCTTCAGCTTCTGGAAGAACTCGTCTCCTTCCCCCTCTGCTTGCGCTGCTCCTGCGCAGCCAAGCCCTCTTCGTTCACTTCCGGAGCTTGCAGGCTCTAGAAGGGGGTTTAGGGTTTAGGGTTTAGGGTTCAGGGGTTGTACCTTGAGGAGAGGGTGGGAGTTCCGCAAACTCAGAGAACCCCAAAATCTGGGAATACTATGAGTACATCATCACTATGCTTGTCTGCTAAGCCTTTTTAGTATGTTCGTAGATGAAGATGTGAATCGGTTAATACATCTTAGACTGCGGGGCTGTCCTTAGCGTGAGCTGAGGCATGCTTCCTCACACAAGGGGAACCCTATGCATCCCACGATAACACGCTACTTGTTAAACCCTAAACCCTAAACCCTAAACCCGAAACCCTAAACCCTAAACCCTAAACCCTAAACCCTTCATATGGGACTCCCCGGCTTCTGCTGTTAGGAAAGTTGACTCAGCAGAAAGCCTCAGAAAGCCATATTATTACTCTCTCCACGCATCTCTCTTCCGGCAACTTGAACTCAGCTCCTTCACAGCAACTCAATCCCCAAGCCCCAAGCCAGGATGGGTTGAGGGTTTAGGCTTTAGGGTGTAGGGTTCAGGGTTTAGGAAGGAAGTTAGAGCAGATGCTTAGGGCTTCGGGCAATGGTAACTGACACACGCCTCCTCAGCAGCAAGCCAGTTCCCAGTTTCTGGGCACCAGAAACTTCAATCGCTAACCGTAACCCTCCTAAAGAACCCAACACGTAAGCTACCGCAATACTCATGGCAACTTGAGCTAAGTTTCTCAACAAGAGCCCCGGAAACACGGGTATGGTCCCCCCTGAACCCTAAACCCTAAACCTAAACCCTAAACCCTAAACCCTAAACTCTAAACCCTAAACCCTAAACCCTAAACTCTAAACCCTAAACCCTAAACCCTGGGAGTGCTGATGGACCTTGGTTCTTGGCCGCCGTGCCGCCGACCTTCCTTGGTGAAGGGCGAAGCTTGAAGGTTTCGAGGGTTGAGGGCTTAGGGCTTGGGGCTTAGGGCTTAGGGCTTAGGGCGCTTAGGGCTTAGGGCGCTTAGGGCGCTTAGGGCTTTGGGCATAGGGCTTAGGGCTTAGGGCTCAGGGCTTAGGGCGTAGGGCGCACTTGGAGGTTCATGGGTAGCTGTAAGTAGGGTTACAAGTACCCTAAACAAGGTGATAAGCATAGTTATCACAAGCAAACCTCCAAGAAGGGTTTTGTCTGGCCGAGACGCGCAGCAGCACAACAATACCGCTGCCAAGACCCAGTCAAGAGAGAGAGCGAGCGAGAGAGCAGCGAGGCAATGATCCGAGAACAGATCCACCAGTCTAAGAGGACACCGGAACACACCCCCTAAACCCTAAACCCTAAACCCTAAACCCTAAACCCTAAACCCTAAACCCTAAACCCTAAACCCTAAACCCTAAACCCTAAACCCTAAACCCTAAACCCTAACCCTAAACCCTAAATGGTTTTTTAGGCTTTTGGATTTGAGGGTTCGGCGGAGGTTTAGGGGTCTCAACGCACGAAAACCTGGACATCAAGCCCGGCACTGCTTGTGGTCCTGCAGCTTGCGCAGCCTTGGGATGCTTTGTTTTTGGGGTTAGGGTTTAGGGTTTAGGGTTTAAGGTTTAGGGTTTAGGGTCTAGGTCTTAGGGTCTTGTGGCATACATTGCAGCCACAAAATGACCGTCTCATTCGCCCTCGCCCTCTCTCCCACCAAATCTCTTGTGGGAGGCCCTTTGGGTGTTGCATTGTAATATTCATCATCATGCCACTCTGCTTCCTAGTTCTACGAGTCCCGAGACTGCTCTGTGATGCTCCTTTCCCGTGCGCTGATGATTGTGTTCATCTTCATCATCTTCACCCTCTGTCATGCACTTGCGCTCTCAAACATCAGGGCGTTGGCAGCGCTCTACCGGGCCACTGGCAGCTGGAAGGCCCTGTAACTTGGCATCACTTCTCTGCCAAGTGTCCAGTGTCCAGACGGCATAAGAGATGCACGCGGCGGAAAGACATTTTCTTTGCTTTGCGCACACTGGAGTGTGCAAGTGAGCTGCTCTCTGTTCTCGGGATCAAATGGTTCGTTTGTACCCAACAGCCTGAACGTTGTGGTGCTTGCCACCCCGCGCGCTGCGGGGCGAGCTGTAGGAAAAATAACCTGCGTTTACATTGCGTCCGGTTTGTTAGGATGAAGGGTAAGTCCGTCTCTTCCCCACCAGGGTCTCTCCCTAAACCCTAAACCCTAAACCCCGAAGTAAGGGCTTTCAGGGGTGGAGGGCATGGACTGCCGGCAGCGTGACAGCTTTCAACGCTCAACATTCACCCGCCGCGGAGACCAGCAAGACCTCTCTGTTACTTGGAGGTTCATGGGTAGGGGTTTAGGGTTTAGGGTTTAGGGTTTAGGGTTTAGGGTTTAGGGTTTAGGGTTTAGGGTTTAGGGTTTGGGGTTTGGGGTTTAGGGTTTAGGGTTAGGGTTTAGGGTTTAGGGTTTAGGGTTTAGGGTTTAGGGTTTAGGGTTTAGGGTTTAGGGTTTAGGGTTTAGGGTAGGGTTTAGGGTTTTTAGGGTTTTTTAGGGTTAGGGTTTAGGGCTTAGGGTTTAGGGTTTAGGGTTTAGGGTTTAGGGTTTAGGGTTTAGGGTTTAGGGTTTAGGGTTTAGGGTCTAGGGTCTAGGGTTTAGGGTTTAGGGTTTAGGGTTTAGGGTTTAGGGTTTAGGGTTTAGGGTTTAGGGTTTAGGGTTTAGGGTTTAGGGTTTAGGGTTTAGGGTTTAGGGTTTAGGGTAGGGTGACGATCCTTGTAACCCTTTTTGGGGTACTTTTCTAACCCTACCTGTAATACCCGTGAACCTCCAAGCACCAAAGAGCACAATACCCCCTTGTCTCAAAGGAACTTACTTTAAAGATTGTCCTGAGTCACGGTCGATTGCTTCAATTGTGGGTTGTTGGGCTCTTTTTTGGTGCTCTCCCCCCGATGCGGGCTCAGCAACATCTTCACCCTAACCCTAAACCCTAAACCCTTTCGAACCATATACCCTGAAACCCCCCAGCCCCCCTGCCCCCCCATGCGGGCTCAGCAACATCTTCTGGAGGTCGTCCATGTCTGCGTGCAGGCCGCCCTGTTGGTCGTTCAGCAAGTTCGTGAACATCGTGAAACCTGGGCCATAGGCTTCTTAAGGGAGGATGAGTTTCAGGTTTAGGGTTTAGGGTTAGGGTTTTAGGGTACAAGGGTTAGGGGGGTTCATGGGGTGTAGGAGCCTAGGGAGCCTTAGGGAAGCTTATAGGGAGCCCTTATAGGCAAGAGTGGGTACTAGGGAACTTTGGGTGAGGTCCACTCTGGGGCCTTGTGGAGCAAAGCCGGCATAAGGTGCTCAGGTACTGTGTGATGTATCTGTAGTCTATGTTCTATCCTTTTTCCATACTTCTTTATGGATACTACTCGAAGTAAGCCGGCTGTGCAAGCCAACGGCCAGCAAACGATGATCAAGGACCAAGCAGGAAGAGTTCGCGCGAGGCGGCGCAAGAACGCGACTCTCGCTCCCTGAGTTGACCAAGAGCATGCCTCCGAGCCCTCGGAGCGAGCAGCATCGTGAGCCTGCCGCCATTCCGTTCGGCAGCTACGGCGCCTCTCCCTTGGGCTCCGCTCCGATTTGGGCTCCGGAGTCATCTACCCTCCCGCCTCCAGAGATAGAAACCCAACCCGTCGGCTGTTAGGAATAACATGAAAGGATCCCACTCTGACAGCTCAACAGCAGCAAGAACAACGAGTGTCCCCTTCGAACAATCATGAACATCACCTGCTTCATATTCCCCTGGGGCCCTTGGGGCTTATGTAAACAAAACTAAAAACCCAACCTTTAAGGAAACTATACAGTCGGCCCATCCCGACTTGCACATGGGTAGATAACAAAATTCTGGCCCTTTCTGAAGTCCTTACTATAAGGATGACATAGTATACAGAGGACCCCAGAAAAAGGGTTTAGGGTTTCTACACCCTAAACCCTAAACCCTGATTTAGAGAACGACCCACGTGAACCAGGGCCCCCGCTGATTCCTTTGTTGGGGTTCGCGTGATGCTCCTTGCTGAGTGGGACCGTAACCCAAAGGCTTTCCGTCTGGTTTTGCTATCCAGCTGCGGAGAAAGCGAGACAGTGACTTCCCTAAACCCTAAACCCTAAACCTGAAGTGTTTGGGGTTTGGGGCTTGGGGTTGGAGACAACCCCCACGCAGCCAAGTGAGCCGGTTTAGGGTTTAGGGTTTAGGGTTTAGGGTTTAGGGTTTAGGGTTTAGGGTTTAGGGTTTAGGGTTTAGGGTTTAGGGTTTAGGGTTTAGGGTTTAGGGTTTAGGGGTTCTGGGCTATAAGTAGGCTGATAGCTGTGGCTATAAGTACCCATGAACCTCCAAGTGTGTCAAGCCCACAAGGCTGTGTAGGGCTTGCTTGGGGGTTCATGGGTACTTCTAAGTGGTATGGTAACCGTACTCATAACCCAATTATTGGGGGTACTTCTAGCCCTACTTTGCAACCACCCCACAAGTAGGGTGAATATGGGTCATGTTCACATGGTTTATATAGAAGGGTTCAGGCGGCATTGTTCACGTTAGTGCTTTGATGACAAGCGCTCCTCGCACAGCTTCTTGAACTCCTCGGCCCACTTCTCACTGTCCCCCTTGAACCCATAGAAGTTGGCCTGATTGAGCTCAGGGGGCTTGCTTCTTTTTGGAGGGAAAATATGTGGAAAGGCTGCCCTGGATCACCAACTTCTCAACACTTCAAGTGTCGCATGCACAGCCGCAATCTCCCGAACATTACCCCAGTCCTCAGCCCTCATATGGTTATAAGTATAGTTAGAAGTACAGCTACAATTGCTTAATAAGTACCATGAACCTCCAAGTTGGGTCCACGGGGCGATGTTGCGGAACTCACCCTCGCTGAGCCAATCGTCACTGTTGAGATCGCAGGCGCGGAAGACTGCGTGGAGGAGGTCTTTGCGTGCCTTGGAGTCCTTGATCCAGTGCTGGCGGTTGCTGTATCTATCTGCCTGGCTCATGCGCAGTCTACCCGACAGGACAAGCGATCACGTGCCTACCTCTGTGATGCGTCTTGCTGTGTCCACATGCAGTTCGGCCCAGGCCGGTCCAAAACCCACCCCATCTCCCCAAGATCAGCAATCTACAGGACACACTTGCTCAAGCTCCTTGTCTTCAGAGTTGGAGGTGCCTTGCAAGCCGCATGCTGGGCTGAGAAGGCTTGAAAAAATGGGCACGTGGCGAATTGCGGAGTTGGAGGTCCACCAGCTTTCGGTTTAACCCACACAAAATTCAAGCCTCAAGCTTTTTTGAAGAACCAACCTGCCATCAATGGACCTCAAATCTGTCTCTGTCTCGCTCTCCTTCTTAGCTCGCTTCGCAACTGAGAGGCCTCTCTCTCTCTCTCTCTTGCCGTTTTCGGTCTTTATCTCTGCCATCCTTCCTTCCTGCTAGCACGGCCCACTCTTTGCGCCTCTCTCCAGATGCGACGCCGTCGGCTTAGACCGGACTGGTCCGGACTCCTCCCAAGCATCCACGCCTGAGCAAGGGACTGGCTCGAAAGTCAGGCAGGGGGCTTGCAAGACCTCCTGTTTTGTGGCCACGTGACGATGCAGCAGCCTGCAGCCCTAGATCTGCATGAATCTACAGCTGTCTGCGCAAGAGCCCCTTTTTTGCCTGGCACAGGCCGAAACCCATCATCAGACGTCAAACACTTCGCAGGCAGAAGACTGAGGTCGCTGCTGTGCCTGCGGCGCTCGATAGCAGAAGCTTCGAAGCGTTTCTCCACTGGCTTGGATTCGGCTTGTGGGCGGGGTGGTGGGCGGTTTCCTGAGCCGGGAGGCACATACTTCTCCCCCGCGCTCCCCTTGCGCTCCAGTGATGGACCAGTCGAAGCTGCCACGGGAGAGCGAGTGTCTCGCTCACGAGTTGGCACTGGGTCACGTGGCACCTCACGGGGGGGCTGGGCATCGCGGGGTTGCGGAGCCTCGCGGGGCGGGTCGGGCGGATGCACAGCATCGCGAGACTCGCGGCGAGGTGGTAAGACCTCAGGCGCCGGTCGCTCTTGAGGCGGCATCGTGTCTGGAGGTGCCACGGGACGTCCAACAGCTTTGGCCTGAAAGGGTTGAGGTTGTGCTGCCTGTGTGGCTGGTGGAGATTGTGTCGCTTGGGCTGGTGCTTGGGGAGCTTGGGGTGCTTGGGGAGCTTGGGGAGCTTGGGGGGCTTGTGGGGCTTGTGGAGCCTGAGGCTGCATCTGCTGTGGAGGGAAGCGTTGTGGTTGTTGCATTTGGTGGAGGTCCTTACTTCTCCAATAACCAAGGGGCAAAAAAGGCTATAAACTTTAATACTCCTACAAAAAAATAAGGAAACCCACAAAAAGTTTATAAAGTTTAACTAAAGGCGAAGCAAGGGTCCTGGCGGGGCAGCCCCCAATCAGGCGGCGAGGGCGCCATCGGAGGCGCGATGGTCCCCCCTCCGATGGTTCCTGCACCAATGGGCCCAGCACCAATGGCTCCGGCTCCGATGGCCTGGTTTGGGCGGGTTTAGGGTTTAGGGTTTAGGGTTTGGGGTTTGGGGTTTAGGGTTTAGGGTTTAGGGTTTAGGGTTTAGGGTTTGG